GTCTGTGGCTCACGGGGTAGATCATCTGTCCTGGCCACCACGGGGTCTCACACCTGCCTCACCCTGCCCTGTGGTGGGATTTCCCCACAGGCCCTACACAAAGCGTCCATGCCCTGTGCAGTATGTGCAGATAGCCAAGCCCACCCACAGATCACAGGACAGGGTCTGAATCCCATTCCCCATGGGTCACCAGGGCATCTGCCCCACCAGCCCCCTCACTGCCACCCAAGGACTCACACCAGCGAGCTGTCCCAGAGGGCTCTGCTCAGCGACAGGGCAGTGGCATATGTCTGTTACCGGGTCTCTCCAGAAGTGTAAAGAATGTTGTGTCCTCAGGCTCCTTCTCAGAACACAGTGAGGAAGCCAAGCCTGCAGCCCACATCGCCACTGCCTTTCTGTCTTTGTCTCTGTGTCTGTCTCTCTGTGCCTTAGTCATGGCTCTAAAGGACAGACTGGTGAATGAGAATATGATACATCATACATGCGCACAGCTACAGACACAGACACATGCAGCCACTTAGTAGTGTGGCTTACAGGCTGTGCCCCGGGTTGTCCTAGTCTGACAGCGGACAGAAGCAGGATGTCTCAGCAGTCCCAATCCAGCGCTGGAGTCCTGGAGGAACCCTAGGGAACTGCTGGTCCTCACTGCACCGGAATCCTGAAGAATGGGCTCCCACCAGTGAAGGAGCGCCTCAGCCGCAGGGTGGACAATCCTGCCAGCGAGAGAGGGCAGGCAGGCAGAGAGCGAACGGCTCCTTCTGTGCCCTGTTATGCAGGCTGCCACCAGGAGGTGCGGCCAGGTTAGGGTCCAGTCGAGAGGGCTCCCACAGGTGGGCCCAGCTGCTTGGGCTGGTGGTTGTTCCAGATGTGGCGAGCTGACAAGATCAGCCCTCACATCCTGTTTCTGTATTGTCTCTCTGTCTCGTTGTCTCTGCCTCTGTCTTGTGTCTCTCTGTCTCCATCTCTTCTGATGCCAGAGGCCTACAACTACCTCCTCCCTTTGGTCAGAACTCCCTGAGGCCAGGCCCCCACGAACTGTGCTTATGTGGTCTGCCCCTTGCCTGGACCCTGTTTGTCCCAACACATCTGGCAAAATGGTGGCTCGCTGTTATCTCTCATGGCAGATGGCCACGTCTATCCAGTGGGTGAGCATTTATTGACCACTTGCTGTTATGTGTGCCCTGCACACACTGTCCCCAAAATGCCTGTGGAGGTGCACACCCTCATGCCTGTGCCCTGTTCACAGAAGGTTGGACCCAGGGTTGAGGGGCCCAAACTTGTCACCTGCCTTCACCTCCCCCACCTCCCTGTGCTCCTGGTGGCCTTGAATCCCATGGAACAAGAAGGAGCCAGACTTGAACCAAGTGTCACAACAGAGCAGAAGGGGCGCGAGGAGTGCTTAAGTGAGGGCCCTGAGCTGAGGAGACAGCCCCACCTGTCTGAGTTTAGAGTTTTTACCGGCAGGCTGCAGGCCTCTGCTCAAGCAGACACTCCCTCACCGCAGCCCTCACGGCCTCTGCTCACTGCTCAGTTTGAGCCAGGAGTCGGGACAGAAAACCCAGCTGTGCCAGGAACCAGCAGAGAAGAAACTCTCAGGCAGCTGGAAACTAAACACAAGCCCCAAGTTTTCTGGTAGAAGAAGCAAAAAGAGAAAAAAGATGAGCCATGTGACCTCTAAGGAAAAAGTTCTTCAGGTTCCTGCCCTCGGGAGCCAGACGAAGGGGGTCTGAGCTGTTCCTGGGCTGCATCTTGAGATTTTGTCTCAAAGCAACAAGAAAACTGCAACAGGAAAAGAAATAGAAGAAATCCAAAGTATTGTCCGCCATTCTGTCTCTTCCTCGGATAGTCGCCTCTGATGTCTCCTGTCTTCTGCTCAGACTCTTTGTCCCTCTGCCGTGAGCTGTGGGAGTTCCCTTCCCCAGCATGGGATCATCTTCGTGAGACTGCATACCTTTGACACCTGCCCCCTCCCGCCCCGCCCCGTAGCTGCTGGCTGGTCCTGTCACATCACGCAGGGGTCACTTCAGGCTCCCACAGTCTTGAGTTCCTGGCAGTACCCCTTGGAGCCTTGCCTTCCTTTTCAGCCAGCCCCAGACCTCAACCACCTGCTTCTACAAGAAAAGGGCCCCGTGAATCCCTACTCCGCCTTCCATCTCCAGGCTTGGAGCCCCTACCCCATGGGCTCTGATATCCCTGCTCGGTGACCGGAACAGCTCCACAGACCCCTGTGGGGATAGCCCACCATGGGCTGTGCAGGTGCGTGGGTACTCATCGCCTGGTTTTGTCTCCATTTTTGAGTTGTTGGGTTTTTTATTTTGTTTTGTTTTTTGTGTGTGTTTTTTAAGTTTGAGACATCACGTGACTCCAAAGCCACCATATCACCCATCCCATGAACGACCACTTCGTCCCTGCACTTAAGAATCCTTTTCCTGTCTTTGGGTTCTTCGGCTCTGGACATTTCCTTTTGTGGGGCCTTTTGCGTTTGGGTCTCTCCGGATGTCTTCAAGTCCCTCCACGCTGTGGCCTGTGTCGTTACCTGTCATGGCTGACGATGCTCCCCGTGTTCGTTGTCCACTCATCTGCAGAACTTGTTTATCCATTTGACCATCGTGAATGAAAGAGTTTCCACGGGGCCTTGTTCCCAGGCACATGTCCAGGAGTGGACGTGAGGGCGAACTGATGGCTGGAGCTGTTTCCAGGGATACAGATAGACGGCCAGCTCTTGAGGGCAAAGCCTGGGGTAGATGGGAGTGAGGGGTGTAGAGGGAAGGGGGCGGGACCTGCTGTCTAACCCCCTGTTTTTCCTCTGCATTCTCCTCTGGCCTCTCCTGGCCTCTACCCCTAGAATGCCCTAGGGCTCCTCAACATTCCCAGTACCCATCCAAGCCCTGAATCTCCCTTGAGGCTCCTGGTGTGGGTGCAAAGCCACACAGACCCCACATTCTTAGCCATGGCCCTGTACAGGTAAGTCAGGGTCCTGTTACACAGGTAGGCCTGCACCCCAGGCCCCCCTCCACTTCCCTCCAAGATTGTGTATCCCGTAATGTGCTCTCCAGGCCAGTTGCTGGGAAGCTACATGAGCTCACGCTCAGGAAGGAGCGGTGCTGCCGCCTCCCACCTCCCGCCCTCCCACCCTGCCGCCCTGCACGGCGGGCGGGCGGCCGCATTGCATCTCATCGACTGCTCTGCAAATGTTAGATCAGAGGTCTGGCCTCTGCCTGCCCGACAGTTTACTGGCATCAGGGAAGGAGAGCCAGAGAGGGGCGCTCGCTTACAGGAAGACATGCAGCTACTGCCATGTAGAAATGTGCTGTGGGCTGTGGGGGGACCCTGCACAGCGAGATCCACAGCACTATGGCCCAGGCTATGCACAGAACTTGTGAGCCACAGGGCGGGGCTTGTGGAGAGGTAGCAAATGGGCAGGGCAGGAGAGACTGAGGCCAAAACCATTGAGGATATGGCTCTCCTGCTGGGGAGCCTGGTGTGTGAGGTAGGTTTGCACAGTCCTATCTGATCACTCCTGTCGCCCCAGCCTTCCGTGCCACAGCTTCTCGTTGTGTCTGACCCTCCATCTCAGAGGTGTCTGTGGTTGGGCAAAGACTCACCATGACCCTGTGGGTTATTATGGTAGCCCAGTATTTCTGCTATACTATGTTGTTAGGATCCAGGCCCATATACAGGCCCAGGAGTGGTTTGTTTGTTTGTTTTTATTTATTTATTTCAGTTTTATATGCACATTCGTGTGAGGGTATGAGATTCCCTAGAACTGGAGTTACAGACAGTTGTAAACTATCATGTGGGTGCTGGAAATTAAACTTTGGTTTTCGCTGGGCGGTGGCGCACGCCTTTAATCCCAGCACTTAGGTAGAAGCAGGTGGATCTCTGAGTTCGAGGCCAGCCTGGTCTACAGAGTCAGTGCCAGGACAGGCCCCAAAGCTACAGAAAAACCTTGTCTCAAAAACAAACCATAAATAAATAAATAAACAAAAAGCCTGGTCCTCGGAAGAGCAGCCAGTGAGTTCAGGCTGAGGATGACCTTGAGCTCCTGATCTTTCTGCCCTCTGCGTCCCACACCTGATTGCTTTGGTGTCTGGGGTGAGCCCAGGGCTCTGTGGTTCCTCTCACTCTGCCCCCAGCCTGTCCCACACCAGCTCCTGTATGTTTGGTTTTTGTTTGTTTTTTTTTTTTAAATATTTATTTATTTATTATGTATACAATATTCTTGTCTGTGTGTCTGCCTGCAGGCCAGAAGAGGGCATCAGATCTCATTTCAGATGGTTGTGAGCCACCATGTGGTTGCTGGGAATTGAACTCAGGACCTTTGGAAGAGCAGGCAATGCTCTTAACCGCTGAGCCATCTCTCCAGCTCCCCTTTGTTTTGTTTTTTTGAGACAAGGTTTCTCTGTGCAGCAGTCCTGGCTGTCCTGGAACTCACTACATAGACCAGGCTGGCCAGAGCTCTGCCAGCCTCTGCCTCACCAGTGCTGAAATTAAAGGTGTGCACCACCACTGCCTGTTTTTTGTTTGTTTGGTTTTTTTGTTTGTTTGTTTGTTTGGTTGGTTTGTTTGTTTGTTGGTTGGTTTTTTGAGACAGGGTTTTTCTCTGTCCTGGAACTAGCTCTTTGTAGACCAGGCTGGTCTCGAACTCACAGAGATCCGCCTGCCTCTGCCTCCCGGGTGCTGGGATTAAAGGCGTGTTCCACCACTGCTGGCTTTATTTCATTTTTTTTAAAAGACAAAAGCGTCCTTCTGTAGCCCAGGCTGGCCCTGACCTCCTGCTAGTGCTCTCCCTCAGCCTCCTGAGTGCCGGGTTCAGTGAGCGAGCAACCCGTGCGAGGCTAGCAACCCTCCTTGCCCTACTCTGTCCTCTTTTTTTTTTTTTTAAATATTTATTGATTTATTATGTATACAATATTCTGTCTGTGTGTATGCCTGTAGGCCAGAAGAGGGCACCAAACCCCATTACAGATGGTTGTGAGCCACCATGTGATTGCTGGGAATTGAACTCAGGACCTTTGGAAAAGCAGGCAATGCTCTTAACCTCTGAGCCATTTCTCCAGCCCCCCCTACTCTGTCCTCTTGATGTGGTACTGAGAACCAAGGCTGGAGACCCAGTGGGGCATTAAGACCAAGGTCAGATGAGGTTCAGGTTGTCCCTGTAAGGGACACTCACCCCCACTGCCTCTATCAGATCCAAAGACCAGCTAGCCTGGGAGTCAGTGACGGGTCTACAGCCCTGCCACCCACTAGTGGCCATCAGCCTCAGACCTCCACATCAGTAAACGTCCCACCATTGGGCTGTGTGTCTAGCATGGCCCTGTCAATCCTTCCACCCTGTTCCCAGCTCTTCCTCCTCCCAGACGGAGAACCACACTACCTGGATCAGAGACCCTCCCTGCCACACCCTGAGTTCTCTCTCTTCCTGTCCCAACTCTGGCCCCTGGGAGAGCCCTCAGGCCCTTCACCTTTCATGCTTGGGTTGTTTTTGGACTTCAGCTTCTTACATTCTCAATCCTCCTGAAATCGACCCCCCCCCATGATTTCTTTTTAGCCCTGGCTGTACTGGAACTAGCTCTGTAGCCCAGCTGACCTTGTACTCAGTATCTACCTGCCTCTGCCTCCTGAGTGCTGGGATTAGAGACACGCTCCTCCATGCCTGGCTGATGGTTCTTTTTAAATTAGAAATTCACACAGCTGTAAAGATTGTCCTTTCAGGGTACATTCACCACCCATGGGAGGATCAGGAGCTCCAGACTAGCCTTGGCTGCACAGAGTGCATTTACAGACACAGGCAGCCCTCACCTCTCTCCAGTTCTAGAACACCATGTCTCCTTGGAGGAGGGCGTATCCCCTGAGAGGTTATTCCATCTCATCCCCAGCCTTGGAGTCCCACACTTGTGTTCTTGTGTCCTCAAGGTTCCTCCAAGCCGCACGTGCTGGAGTCTCTCCTGTTGATGGCTGTGTGATATTCCTGGCTGTGGACAAAGTGTGCTGTTCCCACCTTCCGTGTGCCGTGATTCACTGTTGTGGGTGCTCCTAATTTTCCCATGAGTATCTAGAAATGCGTTTGTGGACTTAACTCTAAGCTAGTGAGTGCTTTGCTGTCTAGGAAGCTCCCTGGCTGCTTCCTGGAGTCCTTGGGCTTCAGCTCCCCACCCCTCCTCAGCCATTTCTGTTTTCAGTTTATTGAGATAGGCTTTTTGGGTGTAGCCTGGGCTGCTCTCCCAATCCTCCTGCCTCATCCTCTTGGGGTGATGACAAGGGTGCCCCAAAGTGCCTGGCTTCACTCTGCTAACTGGAATTGACACTTTTCTCCGTGCCTGCGCCGGTCTGCAATGCAGTACAGGGCGTTCTGGGTAGGACTGATGGTGCCAGGGTTGATGAGGGCTTGGAACATGAGTCTGCTCTGTCTGCTGCTTCTAGGGCCTTTGTCCTGGGTGACCAAGGGAGTGAGAACCTAGGAGAGCCTGTGGGCGCATGTTCCTGACAGGATGGCTAGGGCTCTTTGTCCCTGCATGGGACCCTGTTTGCCTGGGCTCCTCAGCCTCCTTCCCAGGCTCTGATACTCTATGGCCCTCTTCTGGCTCACCTTCCCACAGGAGAGGCCACAGTCCCCAGGGGCAGCTGTGAATGACTATAGCCCCATGGGGGAATCATACCACTGTAACCCCTGCCTGCCCACAGTGGAAATATCTTCTCCTTCCCTCTTTGGCCTTGGGGTCTCCTTCAGGGACACCAGGAATGACCATTTGTGGCCCAGGGCTCAGGATGCTTGAGGATAAGGATATGGGTTTGATGAAGGGCTGGGGAAGCTCCGCTTAGCTTAAGTGGGGAATAGAGGAGTACCTCGGCCTCAGTTCTAGCCCAGCTTCTCACGATGTCCCCTCCTCCAGCCCCTAATTACTGTCATCCTTGGGGAGGAGGGTCACAGACGAGTCTAGTGCTTCAGTAGTTCTGGGGAAACTGAGGCTTTGTCCTCTAACCCCAATTAAAAGCCCCAGGAGAATAGGACCAGACCAGGCACTGGGCCTGGCAGGGTACGCCTTTGTTGACAGCCCTTCTGGGCCGATCCGCCCCCTACAGTAATTCTCCGCACTCTGCCAGTAACTGCCCTGACTTACCAGGCAGGCATCATTTCCTGAAACTCAGCCCAGCCTTAGGGGAAGTCGGGAGCCGGTGACTAACCCTCATGCAAATGGGGCCGGCAGGATCACTGCTGCCTCCGAGCCCGACAGAGCTGCTGAGCCTGCGGCCACCGTGGTCATGAGGCTGGTGCTCCCCGGCAGCTCTTCCAGGGGGACACGGCGGCCACTGCTCAGCGCCCCACACCCCGACCATGTCGCAGCTGCGCTTCTGGCTGCAGTTCGCCGCGCTCAACAAGGTAACCAGCCAGGGACCAGCACGGCCACCCAGAGCTACCTGTGGCACCCCTGAGCTCCCACAGGTGGCAGAACTGGGGCAGGACGCCCCCAGCCCTGCCCACTCTGTACTTTCCTTGGCAAGTCACAGTGAACATGCCAGAATTTTTTAAGTCGATGATTTGGAACTCAGAGCAAGTAGCCAGCATGGGGTGACTGGGGAAGGAGGTGCGGGGTGTAGGTGGCCAGAACTGAGCCAGCTCCCCTCCGTGCTGGGGAAGGGAGTTGAAGATGTTCTCAGCCCCTGTGGGACCTTGATTAGCACCTCTTCCTGGACTAGGACAGAACTCAGTCTCAGCCAGGTCTCGTGGGGTAGGTAGAGCCAGGAGCCCATCTTTCCTCTGGTCTCCAAGTCCAAAAGGTGTGGGGGCTTCTGTGTTTCCGAGGGGGAGAGTCCTTCCTGGGCTTGGCCTTAGGAAGGTCTAGCTAGTCTGCCAGTTCCCCTCCCCCCAGCAGGCCTCCCTCAGGTGCTGCAGCCAGTAACCACAGCGGGGACCCTCCTAACCTCCTCATTTGTACCACCCAATCGGTTGATGCTCTTGCCGCTAGAGATCCAGCTTGGAGGAACTACATGATAAAGACTTTAGAGGGGCCTCGCTGGGAACCCCATCCTCAGATCATCCTGCAGGGGAGGCCCGGAACCAGGCATCCAGCTGTGACATTTCCAGTGGGTGGGGGGAGCTCACCAGTGTGGGTCTGTGATTAGTTAGTGACAGCTGAGAGCTGATGTGTCCTGGAACATCGGCACTCACACATGATCAGGGCCTGGACACCTGGAAACCCTGTGTCCTTTGGCAGGGAGGTGCGTCAGGTTGTTTGTCCTGTACTGGCTTTGTTGACTGGCGTTGAAGATGCCAGGTGAGTGCTATTCTACCACTCCAGCCTGGAGGACGGGGGCTCAAGGCCAGCAGGGCTACAATATGAGACTGGCTTAGAAAATTAGAGTTCCGGGGTGGCACAGCGCCCCTCAGAGCCCTCACTTTCTGTCCCTGGGTCATGCGTATCACACTGAGTGAGGGGCTTTCTGCTGACACTATAATGGTCTGCTGTGTAGAATGCCTCAGTTTCCCCTCACTTCCTTTCTCCGTCCTGTGATGCCTCAGGACATAAGCCTTCCTACCCCCTCAGTCTGCCTCCCTGGGCCAGCCTTAATTGACAGTGTCCCCATCTTGGGTTGAGGCCACTGTGAAAGTGACAGGGTTTGCCTCCTCCAGCCACATCTCCAGAGATCTTCCCAGGGAAGATGGGGCAGGACGGGCCTGAGCTGCTTCTTACCAATGGCTTTGCTGTGTGAAAGGTGAAAGGGCTTGCTTTCGCCAGGCCCTTATAATCCACTGACTTGCTAGGGCTGTGTGCGGGGAGGGTGTTGGGCGCCCTGCTGTGTTTCTCACCATGCTGGAGACCACATGTTTCGGAGCTGTGCCGTGCTGCCCCATTGAAACCCAGGGTTTAGACTGGGCACTGTGCTGGTGGCAGGGAGATGGCACAGGGCACAGGCTGTGGCTGGCTGACTGAGCCTGCTCCCAGCACATGATGGAGAACCGGGTCTCGAGAGCCCATGGTGCCCTTTCCTGTCCCTAAATGCAGGCTGCCACCTCTGCAGTGGGGTCACAGGGCCCTAGGAGGTGGGGACTGTAAAGCCCAACCCCAAAGCAACCCAAGTTCATTCAGGTTTCTCCAGGAAGCTGCCAGGTACCCAGACATACCTCCCCTTCCCTGGATAAAACCAAATGGCCTTGACCTGCCTCAACTAAGGGGCTGGCACTGGCAGCTGTCCCCATACCAATGGAGAAGGTGGGTAGTCACTCAGGACCCACCCTAGGACCAAGACTTCCACCCGGCACAGCCTCATCTCCCTGGCATTCTCTGAGCACACCTCTGTCGCAGACAGTGGTCCAGAGAGCCTGCTGTGCACTCTGGGAGTGCTCACTGTCAAGACCCCAGAGTCAGGGTGTGTGAAGGGGCTCCCTACAGCAGAGCACCCACCCAGCTCTGTCTGGTGTGATCCTAATGCCTCAAGATGTCACCTGCAACCTGCCACAGGGCTCGGAGGCAGGGTAGTTTACCCAAGCCTGGGCCTTCAGGATCCTCACCCTGGCCTCAATCCCTTGTCTCTAAAACTGGAGAGGTGGGTAGGGCATGGAGACCCCCAACCTGCAGAGTGCTTTCAGGGTCCCTAGTGGAGATGGTGGCTCACACCTGTCGTCTTGGGAGACTGAGGGAAGGTTACCATGAATTTGAGGCCAGAGCAAACAAACAAGTTTATTGAGTTTGATCCATATTCCATTTAGTTTACTCATTTGAGGTGTATATTTCTGTGGTTTTAACGTATTTGTAGCTGTGTATTTAATGACTTCTAGAACATTCCATCCCATCAGACTGAATCCCATCCCTGTTAGCCATCACTGCATTCGTCCCCAGCCCTGGACCCTCAAATCCTTTTGTCACCACTGGGTTCTCAGAGTGCTATGTCTTCAAGGTCACTCCATGTTGTGCTGTGTGGGGCTCCACTGTGTGGCAGGCTACACTGTCACTTACCTGAGGGCCCACACCAGCTACTGCCTCCCCCGTGCCTTCTCCTAGGACCCCTCCTGCCTCGAGGACCTCTCCAACGCCTCCATCTTCTCGTCTTCTGTGGATTCCCTGTCGGACATCCCTGACACGCCTGACTTCGTGCACGTCGACAGCCTCAACGAGGTGCCCACCATCTGGGACGTCAGCACCACCTCAGCTACCCCTGGCCAGGTCAGCAGGGCTACTGTGGTGACATGGGTGGGGCAGGGAGGGCTGTGGGAGTGGGACAGTGTGCTCAGGCCTGGGTTATAAGGGGTGCTGAACCCCAGAGGCTGGAGGAACAATCTCCACAGCCTAGAGGCCCGTTACACATCCAGTGTCCCCAGATGACCCCACTGGGTCTCAGATGTGTGTCTGCTGTTAACAGGTGCAGCCAAGAGAGACATAAGCTGTCTGAGTTTATTTTTCTTTGGTGTCTGTTAGTTTCTGAGCTGGAGTCTCCCACAGCCTGGGCTGCTCTCAACTCAGCTCTGTAGCCAAGGCTGACCTTGAACTCCTGATCCACCTACCTGAGCCTCCTGAATTCTGGGCTGGCAGGTGTGTGCCATCATGTCTGACTCCAAAGGCAATTTAGGTTACCAATTCTCACCCCAAGAACTCTGCCCTCGGTGGACCCCAGAGGTGTGGATGAAGACAGACATGACTGCTAGGGGCTGCTCCTGGCCTGGGCGGGTACAGTCCGGGACCCTGCTAAGATCCCCACAAGGTCTAGGGTGCCTCATGTCCAGGATGAGGAGACACTTAGCTGATGACTTCCTGACACATGAGACCTCAGAGCACTCCGCAGTGAGGCAGACAGTGTCTCCCAGGGCATCCTGGCTTCTGGGACTGACCTCCTCTCTCGCTCTACCACTGTGGATGGGTTTCAACATAGACAGGACCCTAGAACTCAGCAGGCACATGACTGTAGGGTGCCCAGGCTTCAGGGCGTACAGAAAGAACACTGACCCAGAAGGCTCCGTCAGCAGGGAGTTTTGCCCCCAGAGGACACTAATGGCATGTATGGTCATTCCAACTTGGGGAGCCCTTGACATGGATGGAACCTCACTGAGCCTGACCTGGTCCCTAATTCTAGTGATACAAGGGAACCCCAGTCTAGGCCTTCCTGGGATCTTCCAAATAGAAACTTCTAGACTTGGAGAGTGTAAGTTAGGAATGTTCCCAGGAGTCTCCAGATGGGAGTCCTTGATGCAGCTCTGAGGTAAAGGCCAATTGTGCAGTTGGCAGGAGGCCATCAGGAGGACAGGCTGCCCTGTGCTGCACCCCCCCCCCCCATTGCTGTGAGGAGCCACTGTGGCCATTCCCTTCTGAGATCAAGGCCACAGGGTACTGCCCACCCCGCCCAGGGCCTCAGGCTGCTGTGGACCAAGCCCCTATCTGAAACCTAATACCCTGCACTGCCCCAGCCCAGCAGGCCGGAACGTGGAACATGACTCAGCCTTCCAGGAACCTCCACCAGTCTGTTTGGGTTTTTGTTAATTTAAGAAAGAAAAAAAAAAGAAGAAGAAGGCAGGAGGGTTGAGTGTGGACTTGTAACCTTCCCAAGCTTCCGCTGGCTTTCAACACCCCTGGCTCTGTTCCCAGCAGAACAGGGGACATGTGACAGTGAGTGTCCTGCAGTGCCCCAGAGACTCCTGTCCTCCCTCAAGGAAGCTGAATACCAAGTGAATCCAGCAGGAGCAGGGGCCAGCAGGGCCATCACTGAGCAGTCGGTTCCTCCTCTGCCAGTCAGAGCTCTCCTGTGGCCTTGGGGTCCATCCTCCGACCACATGAACCAGGTGTGGTGCTGTACCTGTAACCTCAGCACTCAGGAGGGTTGGGATTTTAGGGTCCTTGGCTACACGGGAAGTTTGAGGCCAGCCTAGGCTACATGCCTTTATTTTAAAAAACCAACCAAACAAAGGGGAGTGTGCTGTCATTACAGGCTTTATTCCCAGCATCTACATGATGAATCACAGCTGTAACTCCAATTTCAGGGCTCCTGGCACCTTCTGACCTCCACAGGCCTGTATGCACACAGTGCACTCACACGCACTGTGTATGGGAAAGCACCCATACACATAAATAAGTCTTTAATCCCAGCACTGGGGAGGCAGAGGCAGGCAGATCTCTGTGAGTTCGAGGTCTACAAGAGCTAGTTCCAGGACAGGCTCCAAAGCTACAGAGAAACCCTGTCTGTAAAAACCAATAAACAAACAAATAAACAAATAAGTCTTTAAAATCTATCCTTGTATTTAGATTGGGGAATTGAGAATTCATTTGCAAAGAAAAGTCACATCCCCTGTGATGGCTACAGACTCAACTCACTGGCCAGGCCACACCATTTGTCTATCTTGACCCTTCAACACTTGAGGCTACATGCCCTGCCCCAGGTCACTATGATCAGGCTCAGGGCCATCCATCTCTTCTGTAAAGGACTCTGGTTTGTGACATTTGGAGTATGGTCACAGTATTGGGGGCATTGACCCTAAGGAGGTCTTGCAGGACCGCTCGTTCCTCAGCCCCTAGATGGACAGGCCCTCCCAAGGGAGTCTGCACTCTGGGATGTTTGTCTGGCTTTTGTCTGCTTTTCCTTGGCCCAGAGGCTACTACCTCATGGTCCCCCATATGCCACAGGGACACAATCTGTTCTCAGCTGTCCTACCAGGATCGGCCACATCCCAGGTTGGCCCCTAAGAATGAACAGCGCTACATAAGGGTACAGGTACTGGCATAGGAGGCCGTGGCTCACATCCTCCCCTCCTGTCCCCTACAGCTGTTCCTGCCGAATGGGCCATTCTCGGCTCTTGAAGTTCCAGTGACCTCCCTCTCCAGCACCCCACTTCTCGTCAGCTACCAGGTAAATTGGGTGGCCGCGGTATCTCTTAGGGATCTAGAGAGAGGCTCCAAAGGCATCTCCAGTGTCCTGGGTTGCCCTGCCCATTTTGCAGTTGGAAATCTGAAGCCCCACTTAGGGCTAAAGGCGGAGCCCCCTCCCCTCCACAGCACCGTGTTTGGCCCACTCCGTGCAGCATGGCTGCTGCCCTGGGGAACACTGGGTCACTCCAAGTTAGGACAGACCCTGAAATGTCACACCCTGCAGGCCCACAGCCAGCCTGAGGAGGAGGAGGGGGAAGAGGAAGAGGAGGCAGAAGAACTGGGCCACGCTGAGACCTATGCCGACTACGTACCGTCCAAGTGTAAGTCTGGGCCAGGGACAGGATAGCGATGCCTCCTAGGAAGACATCTGTGTAGACCCGAGGGCTCATGGCCTCCCTGGTCCATAGTGTGGGCGTCAGGACAGAGTCGTGTGTGCAGAGTGGGCACCTGGTCCATAGTGCGGGCGTCAGGACATAGTCGTGTGTGCTGAGTGGGCACCGTCCATAGTGTGGGCGTCGGGACAGAGTCGTGTGTGCAGAGTGGACACCTGGTCTGTAATGCGGGCATCAGGACAGTCGTGTGTGCAGAGTGTACATCTGGTCCGTAGTGCGGGCGTCAGGACAGAGTCGTGTGTGCAGAGTGCACACCTGGCTACTTCTACCCTGCCATTTATTCTGCGCCAACTCTGCCCTCTGTCCCCCCATCAGCCAAGATTGGGAAACAGCATCCAGACCGTGTGGTGGAGACCAGTACACTGTCCAGTGTTCCTCCCCCAGACATCACCTACACCCTGGCACTACCCACCTCAGACAACGGGACCCTATCTGCTCTACAGCTGGAAGCTATCACCTATGCCTGCCAGGTGCCAGCCCCCCCAACCCCTGCCAGGCTCATAAGGAGGCCACCTGGCACCCCAGGCCTGACTCACCTCTGCTCACCCATAGCAACATGAGGTCCTACTGCCCAGTGGGCAGCGCGCTGGGTTCCTGATTGGGGATGGAGCCGGCGTGGGCAAGGGCCGCACAGTGGCTGGCATCATAGTGGAGAATTACCTGCGGGGCCGGAAGAAAGCTTTGTGGTGAGTTCCTGCCTGGCCTGGTGTCCCGGATGGGTGGGATAGCATGAGACAGGCAGCGTCGCGTCTGACCAGGTCTCTCCCCCAGGTTCAGTGCCTCCAATGACCTCAAGTATGATGCAGAGCGGGACCTGAGAGACATTGAGGCGCCAGGCATCGCGGTGCATGCATTGAGCAAGGTAGGGAAGTCATGGATGACCAGCTGAGTCCAAGCCCTTTACTAAGGAAGAAACTAAAGTAGAAGAGTCCCTGCATGTACCCCCATGTCTGAACCTGTGTCCACAGATCAAGTACGGTGACAACACTACCTCAGAGGGTGTCCTCTTTGCCACCTACTCTGCCCTGATTGGAGAAAGCCAGGCAGGTGGGCAGCATCGCACACGCCTCCGCCAGATCCTGCAGTGGTGCGGCGAGGCCTTTGATGGTGTGGTATCCTGCAGCCAGTGGGCGGATGGGCACGGAGAAGGGCAGAGCCAAAGTACTAGAGCCTGTGCTGAGTGGGGTTGAGTATGAGCAGCTCAGCCCGGGCGCAGAGAGCAACACTGAGGTCTTGGCACGCACTGACCAGTGATTGGGAGCTCCCCATTCAACTAGGCCTGCATCAGAGTGGCACAGCCCTTTCAGAACTGTTCTGATATCGGGCTGAGCATACGGTAGAACCTGCAAACTGTCCTTCCTCCCCCACTCCTCCTGATCTGGTCCTAGCAAGCCTATAGGCCCCTGACTGACAGTATGGGACAGAGCTTGCCATGCTGGGCTCCTCCATGTGGGCAGCCCACAGGACCCAGGACACAGTGTATGCCGTGGGGAATGCCACTGGCTCTTCAGGGATGTGCCAGGAGTGGTGGCCCTGAGCTTGCTGTGGCAAGAGCCTCTACCCAGGGTGTTCTTTCTGCCCTTCTTTCCTTGGTGCTATGGTTACTGTGTGCTCTGCTAAGCCACGTCCCCTTGACGCACTGTTGTTTTTTTAGGCAGGGTCTCCTGTTTTTTTAGGCAGGTCTGCCTGTCACAGGGGCTGCTGTGGCAGGCAGGCACCGCTAGGCCTGGCTTATGTGGTGCTGAGGATGGAACTCAGCTTCCTGCCTGCTGAGCAAGCGTGCCTCCCGTAGGGTGTTGTTACCCCACTCCCAGTGCCCTTTAACACCTACCAACGGTGCACCTCCATCCTTCTGGAACATTCCTTAACCCAGCATATCCCAGATTGTGTTTGATGAGTGCCACAAAGCCAAGAATGCCAGTTCCACCAAGATGGGCAAGGCCGTGCTGGACCTACAAAGCAAGCTGCCCCAGGCCAGAGTGGTGTACGCCAGCGCCACAGGTGGGATGGGGGCAGCAGCTGAGCTGGGTGGGCAAGCGCCATCACATATGTGGCCTCTGGTACACCTACACCGAAATGGGGGGTGTCCTACCAGCTGTGCACAGAACTTCGATCTGTATCTTTTCTGCTTGGTGGCACCTGGGGCAAATATGGAGCTTGCTGTCTTCATGCCATCTTCCGCCTGATCTTGAGAGCATCTCTGGGCGTGTTCCCTAGGACTTCAGTTCTCTTCCCTTGGCCTCCCCACCTCCCTGGGGCGATGACACTGTACCTCACTCAGCTCCCTGCTTCCAACCAACCCCTAGGTGCCTCCGAGCCCCGCAACATGATCTACATGAGTCGCCTGGGCATCTGGGGCGAGGGCACACCCTTCCGGACCTTCGAGGAGTTCTTGCACGCCATTGAAAAGAGGTGAGCCCCTGCTCTGCCTGTGGGGATGGCTGTCCCTGCCAGGAATCCAGAGGGCCCTTGATGCACGCATGCCATCCTGTCTCTCCCTAGCACCTCCTGTCCTCTCAGAAAGATGAGCCTTTTTCCTGAGTCCTCTGCCATGCTCCCCTCTGGCCATACAAGTCTGTCCAGGCCCAGTCTCGTGTTTTTCTCATGGCCACAGGGCCTCTGCCATGTGCTGTGTTCTACCCTCTGCCCATCTGTCCCCTAGTGGGACACAGTCTCAGAGGCCCTGTCTGTCTGCAGGGGAGTGGGCGCCATGGAGATTGTGGCCATGGACATGAAGGTCAGTGGCATGTACATCGCACGCCAGCTCAGCTTTTCAGGGGTTACATTCCGCATCGAGGAGATCCCGCTGTCTCCTGCCTTTGAGCAGGTCTATAATCGGGCAGCCCGACTGGTAAGCTGGGGTGAACAGGGACCTCTTCCTCCTCCCACATCTGTGTTGCACAGTCACACCATCCCATAGATGCTGTTGGTTTCTATAGTGGAGCCCATGTCTGTTCTGCTCTCCCTGGCCCGTCTGGCCCGTGTCTGCGCTGCTCTCCCTGGCCCGTCTGGCCCGTCTGGCCCGTGTCTGCGCTGCTCTCCCTGGCCCGTCTGGCCCACGTCTGCACTGCTCTTTAGTTTTATTCACTTTACTTTCGTTTGTTTTTCGAGACAGGGTTTCTCTGTGTAGCCCTGGTTGTCCTCTATCTCTGTGGAACAGGCTGGCCGAGAACTCATGGAGATCTGCTTATCTCTGCCTCCCAAGTGCTAGGAATAAAGGCGTGCGCCAACACTGCCAGGCTTATTTTCTTTCTTTCTTTCTTTTAATGATTTTTGTGTGTGTTTGGCATTTTGCCTGCATGTCTGTGTGAGGGCATCAGATCTCCTTGAACGAAGTTACAGGCAGGTGTGAGCTGCCGTGTGTTTGCTGGGAATTGAACCTGGATCCTCTGGAAGAACAGCCAGTGTTCTTAACCACTGAGCCATCGCTCCAGCTCCAGCCCCATCACTTTTACTTTTATTTCTGAGACTATCCTATCTCACTATAGCTCAGCTAGATTCAAATTCCTGACAATCCTCCTGCCTCAGCCACTGGTGTGCTATACTAAGAGGCATGTACCAGAATACCTGACTAGTCATGAGGGATTTACCACTGTGATACCGTGACTTTGGCAGACCTGCCTCCACAGCCCAGGGCGATGTTGCACTAGATGATGACGTGGAGCCAGTGACCATGTCCCCTCCATGGGCTCTGTATGGACAGATTCTTGTTCCCAAACTGTCTCAGCAACAGGTCCTCAACCCTGGACCCTCCTCCCTCTGCTTCCCACGTACTGATGTGACAGGCGTGTGCTGTCATCCCCCATGTCCAGTGTATGCAAGGCTTGACTCGTGTGGTGGCACACTGCTGTCCACCATGCACTCAGGAGGCCTGAGCTACATAGGAAAACCTTGTCTCAAAACATAACAAAACAAATGACCAAAATGCATGGTCCTGACAGAGCCGTGCTGAGAACAGCTCTTTGGGAATCAGTGGGCATCTATGGTGCCTGTCCCTGTGGCCTCCAGTGAACATTCTCGATTCTTCAGGCCCAGCACTGTCCCCAGAGAACTCTGGACTACATCATAAGACAAATGGGACTCCTGGCAGGGGGTGTGTGGAGGCCAGGGACCCTGCTCAGGACCTGGCAGAGATGACTGCATCTGGTACTCATGGTGCCCAGGTGGCCTTGAACTCCCCTGTCCTGTAGAAACTCTGAAACCTAGGTATAGGGTGCAGGCTTGTCACCCCAGCCCTTGGGAGGCAGAGGCAGGAACATCAGAAATGAAGTCATTGTTGACTGCATATCCAGGTCAAAGTCACCCTGTCTCCAGAAGCCCTTTCCCCAATGAGAGAGAGACTTTTATGTCAGACATAGTGTTTTAAGTCTCAGTGTTCAGGAAGCTGAAGCAAGGGGATCATGGCCAGCCTGGGCTACATGAGATTTGTTTGTTTGTTTGGTTGGTTGGTTGGTTTTCTAGACAGGGTTTCTCTGTGCAGCCCTGACTATCCTGGAACTCACTCTGTAGACCAGGCTGGTCTCGAACTCAGAGATCCCCCTACCTCTGCCTCCGGAGTGCTGGCATTAAAGGTGTGTGCCTCCACCGCTGTCAACTATATAAGATTCTTAGTCAAATAACAAAACAGCCTTTGCACAACCCCTGGTTGTTTTGAATGTTTCTTTGACAACTTTGTATGTGAGCCTGTGTTTTGATCCTGTTCACCCCTGCCCTGGGCCCTGGCTGTGACATCCTCACTGTGCAGTTTTGGCTGCTGCCCTTACTGCCCCTCACCCCACCAGCCCCTGGAGCCCCTGCCTAAGGCCAGCTGGCGGGCTTAGCACAGGCCTTGCTCTTGCAGTGGGCTGAAGCCTTGAGCGTGTTCCAGCAGGCGGCCGACTGGATCGGCCTGGAGTCTCGCAAGTCCCTGTGGGGTCAGTTCTGGTCAGCGCACCAGCGCTTCTTCAAGTACCTGTGCATTGCAGCTAAGGTGCAGCGGCTGGTGGAACTGGCCCAGCAGGAGCTGAGCCAGGACAAGGTGAGTACCAAGGCCAGCCTTGAGGCCGTGACCCTGATAGCTGCCGCCTCCCCTCATAGTTGGGTGGTGGAGTGCCCGGAGGCTGATAAGATGGGCTAGTCACCTTGGAGCCCGGCTCAGCACTCCATCCATCCCCGCAGTGTGTGGTCATTGGTCTGCAGTCCACAGGAGAGGCGCGGACCCGCGAGGTGCTGGATGAGAATGAAGGCCGCCTGGACTGCTTTGTCTCAGCTGCAGAGTGAGTGAGGAAAGTTATGGGGACACAGAACAGGCACCAGGGCAGCCTTCGATGGGGGACTCCCTGGTGTGTTGTTACCTTGCATGGCCTATTGCTACCCCCTTGATCCTCAGCAACTGTGGAAAGCCAGGAGGGGCAGGACCAGACAGGAATCTTGTGGGTGGCCCTTGGGTCTGGAGGGCACATCACTGAGATGCTGGGGTCTCAACAGGAGACTTTTTGGACATCTGCCCCCACGCAGGTTGTACCATTTCAACACAGTTTCATGGGCTTCTTGGGTCTGGCCTGTTGTGCCCTCACAGGCTGACATGGCCCTCTCAGAAGTCACCTCAGTCCACCCTAGGGAAGCTGCCCACTGCCATTCCTACACAGGGGCTCCAGCCTGGGACCAGTGTGTCCCATTGTCACCCCTCTCCCTGCGGCTGCACGCTGTGGCGGCTGGCTGAGCACTCTTCTCCTCTGCAGAGGCGTCTTCCTGTCGCTCATTCAGAAGCACTTCCCTTCCACCCGGAGGAGGCGGGACCGGGGAGGCGGAAAGAGGAAAAGTAAGAACCCACGGGGTTCCTCCTCTCCTGGCTTTGTGTGCTCCGCTCCCCACCCCTGGAGGACTGTCCCCAGCTGGGAGTTTGCTCATGGTCACCCAAGGCAGTGCAAGGGTGTAGGTAGGACTGGTCATGTCCCTGCATGGCGCTTAGAGAAGCAAAGTTCTGGGACAAGACCCCGTGGGCTCCAATCTCAGGCCGCCCATCCAGCCAGCCCCACTAGGCAAGGCCTTAGGGAGCCCAGCTCCAGCCCCACTCGCTGGCAGATGGGGCAGCCTCTGCATGCTGCACAGCCATGCTTCTTAGCTGTGTCCATGCTGATTGTAGGGACGGGACTGTGCCCAGAAAGCACAGGTCAGAGCACAAGGCCACCTACCTTCCAGTTCACAGATCCCCAAAGCCAGGCTCAGAGAAGCCAAGTAATTCATCTGCAGACACACAGCCTGGCATGAAGGACAGGACATTCACAGGCCCCTTACCTTCCTGCAGCCTACAGCACTGAGAGGAGGTCCCTGAACTTTCCCTCGAGCAGACTTTGACACCCTCTGAGCCTCTTACTTTCCAGGGAATTCAGCCATGAAGCCAGCCAGGGCTGAGGATGGGGCTGTGATATCTCAGTTCACCTTTCCCTGTCCAGAGATGGGGCCAGGGTCTTCCTGAAGGGAACACAAGACACCGGAAGAGCACACGAAGCCTGCCCCATCCAAGACAGGCCTTTGTCCTCCCTCGCTAGCGCCTCAGCGCCTCCTGCTCTCTGCCCTGCCGCTCCAACTTCCCCCTGCCTCAGCTTCCTTACCCCAGCTGACCCCTGGCCCCTTCTGCAGGGCGGCCTCGGGGGCGCGTCACCAAGACTCCCAGACTAGCTCTGGAGGCATCAGGAGTTATCCGCATTAGCGATGGCAGCAGCACAGAGTCAGATGCTGGCCTGGACAGTGACTTCAATTCATCCCCGGAGTCGCTGCTAGATGACGATGTGGTCATCGTGGATGCCCCCACACTCCCCACAGATGACCGAGGTGAGCCTCCATCGTCCAGCCGTGTTCCATGCAGCAGACACCACACGAGGTCCTTTCCCCAGCATACACCCAGGGACGGGGAAAACAGAGACTCAAGGCTAAGGCCACGCTGTCACACAGGAGAGCGACTCTGTCCTCATCCTGCCTGTAGGCCACTTCACTGACACTGTCGCTCTTCCCGCCCTCTCCAGGTCCCCTGTACCCACTTCAGAGAGACCAGCAGGGGCCTGGTGTCCTGGACCGGGTAGAACGGCTGAAACAAGGCCTGCTGGCCAAGGTGCGCACACTGGGCCGGGAGCTGCCCGTCAACACGTTGGACCAGCTCATCCACCAGCTTGGGGGTCCTGAGTGTGTGGCTGAGGTGAGCCTGGCAGCCCATAGCCAGCTCTAAGGGCCCTGTGTCAATCATAGGGAGGAGGTGGAGCCTGACTGCAGAGGGAGGTGCCCACCCCCAGCTACATGGAAGATGGCTCAGCAGATAAGAGTGCTTCCCTCTCTTAAGGTGGTCCTGAGGACCCCAGCACACATGTGCCCCCCACCTATAAAATAATTACTATTTTCTAAAAAGAAAGCAAAGAAAGACAAAGGCAGGAATCCTCATGGGCTGAGGCCACACTGGAAACCCAGTCCCTGCACAGGGTTCCAGCAGGGCCACCTTGTACCTCAAACAAGAACACAGTGCACACTGATAGCTGGTGGGGGCTCCTTTTTCTCTCCTCAACCGCAGATGACTGGCAGGAAAGGCCGTGTGGTATCCAGGCCCGACGGGTCAGTGGTCTTTGAGTCCAGAGCAGAACAGGGCCTGTCCATCGACCATGTGAACCTCAGGGAGAAACAGCGCTTTATGAGCGGCGAGAAGGTGGGGCCTGGTGCGGGGCAACGAGGGGCCCAGGTGCCCTGGGTGCTCTGCAAGGGAATGGCTACCAGGTGGGGAGAGGGTGTATGTGCCTGCACTCTTGAGGGGAGTGACCCTGGGGACCCAGAGCTGAACAGTGAGAAGGCGGCCCCCAACACCCTGTCCCATCCCATCCCCACCCCCAGCTTGTGGCCATCATCTCTGAGGCCTCCAGCTCCGGCGTCTCCCTCCAAGCCGACCGCCGGGTCCAGAACCAGCGGCGCCGGGTACACATGACCCTGGAGCTGCCTTGGAGCGCAGACCGTGCCATTCAGCAGTTTGGTGAGGCCCCTAGCCCTGGCCCAGGTTGTTCCTTCCCTGAGACCCCCCCATCCCAGTCACCTAGAGCCTCTTTGCTCTCAGGCCGCACCCACAGGTCCAACCAGGTCTCAGCGCCCGAGTACGTCTTCCTCATCTCGGAGCTGGCAGGGGAGCGCAGGTTCGCCTCCATTGTGGCCAAGCGGCTGGAGAGCCTGGTGAGCAGATGGGGCAGGGGCGGAGGGCAGACCTGGGGAAGGTCAGGAAATGCTGGAGCCTGAATCACAAATGGTCCTGGGTCCCTCTGGCAGGGTGCCCTGACCCACGGAGATCGCAGGGCCACCGAGTCCCGAGACCTGAGCAAGTACAACTTCGAGAACAAGGTAAGTAGAGGGCAGCTGTGGGGAGGCCACACTCTACCCCGGCCCCACTCACACCTCTTGCCCCACAGTATGGCACCCGCGCTCTCAGCCGCGTCCTCACCACCATCCTGGGCCAGACAGACAACAGGGTACCCCTGCCCCAGGGCTACCCGGGAGGGGATGCTGCCTTCTTCCGTGGTGAGCCTTTCTGGGAGGCATGCGGACTACAGCGGGGCTGGTTCCATTGGGATTTGGGGACTGGGTGCATGGGCGGGCTTCTAGGGAAAGGACTTGGCAGGGTCCCCCCTGGGGTCCAAGACCAGCGGCTGGTTTACCCTCGCAGACATGAAGCAGGGCCTGCTCTCTGTGGGCATTGGTGGCCGCGAGTCACGCACTGGCTGCTTGGATGTGGAGAAGGGTGAGTCCGGGAACACTGGAAGGTGTTGGTGCAGGGGCCACTGGGAAGGCCCGAAGGCGGCCTGAGACTCAGCTCTGCCCGCAGACTGCTCCATTACCAAGTTCCTGAACCGCATCCTGGGGCTGGAGGTGCACAAGCAGAATGCTCTGTTCCAGTATTTCTCTGACACCTTTGACCACCTCATCGAGATAGACAAGAAGGAGGGCAGATACGACATGGGCATTCTGGGTAAGCTTCCGGTCAGGGCTGGAGTTCAGGCGCTGGGAGCCCCCAATGGGATCCAGGGCCAATACATCATATATTTGAAGTCTACTGTTTGAGAGGCTACAGATGAGGACCAGAAATTGGTCGAAGCTGCTGTCATTGTAAGTGTGATCACCTGGGGAGCTCATGCTTGAGACCACACAGTGCAGCTGCAGCGCAAGGAATCTCAACGCTTTCGTTTTTTGTGTCGGGCTGCATTAAGAGCCAGCCTGGGCTACATGCCAGCTGCATGTTCTGCTCACTGGACAGAGTCCCTGTTGCTCCAAAGCTAAGGTTTAGACCCCGAGGACAGATGGTCACTTGCAAGGGTTACGGTGGCACTTGCCTGCCGGCCCAGCGCTGGTAAAGGCGGTTCCTCCATTGCATACTGACCTCATGGCCAGCCTGAGCTACTGAGGTCCTGTCTCAGTGTAAACAAATAGGGAGACTGGAAAGGATGGGACATGCTCCTCTTCCCCACCCCACCCCCTGCTGTAACTCCAGCTCCAGGGGATCTGATGCGTTGTTCTGCTCTCCGTGGGCATGCACACATGTCCAGATAAATGCCCAGACACAAAAATAAAAAATCTTTTTAAAAAAAGACAACAGACACAACAACAGTCCCTCTGCAGCTGTGCACAAGACACCAGGGACCCTAGACTAGAGGGTTCCCTGACACCCACAAGACATCTGGTCTCCAGGCTTTTGGTCCCTCTGCGCACTCATGGGGTCACCTCTGTGGTATATCAGAGAATCGGTTGTCTTGTCCTGACCACTGACCACCTACCCTCTCCTCAGACCTGGCCCCTGGCATCAATGAGATTCATGAAGAAAGCCAGCAGGTGTTCCTGGCACCTGGGCACCCACAGGATGGGCAGGTGGTCTTCTATAAGGTGAGCAGGGAGCCACCCATCCCCAGCCATGACTACAGTTCCCGAACCTGCTAACACCCCCTTCACCATTCGCCACTGCAGATCAGCGTGGACCGAGGCATGAAGTGGGAAGAGGCGCTCACCAGGTCTCTGGAGCTGAAAGGTCCCTATGACGGTTTCTACCTCTCCTACAAGGTGAGTGGACCCACTCCTGGTATGTGCCCTGTCCACCACCTACCCAGAGACCCTGGTGGGCAACCGTGGTGACTCTTGGCCCTAGGTACGAGGCAGCAAGATGAGCTGCCTCCTGGCGGAACAGAACCGCGGTGAGTATTTCACTGTGTACAAGCCGAACATTGGCCGCCAGAGCCAGCTGGAGACCCTGGACAGCCTGTGCCGCAGGTTCCGCCGGGTATGGAAGGACCTCCCCTCCCCTCCCATGGCAGCTGAGAATGTGTGGGGAAACCCCTAAGCCTAATTTTCCCTGCTGACTTACGGGCCTGCATCCCCAGGTCACCGCGGAGGAGGCCCGGGAGCCCTGGGAGAGCACCTATGCCCTGTCGCTCGAGCACTGTAGCCACACCACCTGGTGAGGCCTGGGCGGGAGGCGGAGCCGGGCTCCCAGTGTCCCAGGGCCTTGTGGGCAGGGAAAGCGCAAGCTGCGAGCTGACCGGTGGTCCCCTGGTACAGGAACCAGCGCTGCCGACTGGCACAGGAGGGCAAGGGCTGTGCCCAGGGTCTGCGCCTCCGCCACCACTACATGCTGTGCGGGGCGCTGCTGCGCGTGTGGGGCCGCATCGCCGCCGTTATGGCGGACGTCAGCAACAGCAGCTACCTACAGATCGTACGCCTCAAAACCAAGGACAAGAAGAAGCAAGTGGGTAAGTGGGGCGGCGAGCACGGGATCCCCAGAAAAAAGGATTGCCGGGTATCATCCCCAGGCGGACGTGACCGCGTGTCTGTGCTTCTGCAGGCATCAAGATCCCCGAGGGATGCGTTCACCGCGTACTGCAGGAGCTGCGGCTGATGGATGCCGAGGTGAAGCGCCGCAGCACCCATGGGCTGGGCGCGCGCCCACCCACTCCACGCGCCATCGCGCTTCCCTGCGGTCCTGGTGAGGTGCTGGACTTGACCTACAGTCCCCCCGCCGAGGCTTTCCCGCCACCTCCACGCTTTGCCTTCCCTTCGCTTCCACCCCCGGACCCCAGTTCTCTGATGCTGGGGGCAAGAGACCCTGCCACCAACCCCGCAGAGCTGGCACACCAGGGCTGCGACATCAATTTCAGGGAAGTGTTGGAGGACATGCTCCGCTCTCTGCGCGCAGGGCCCACCGAGACCCCTGCGCCTCTGGTGGGCATGGGTGGTGGTGGTACAGAGCGGCAGAGCGTCATCCACTTCAGTCCACCCTTCCCGAACTCGTAAGGCAGCCACCATGGCCCCTGGATTACAACTGTCCTGGGCAGCAAGGCCCACACCGGCTCCCCTGCGAGCAAAGAGGTTCCCACGACTACTGAGGGCACCTGGCCACAGTGCCTTACCCGCCAGCTGGGTGCGGGGTGGGGGTGGGGGGCCTCTCCTGTGCTGCTCCACACGCCCAGCCTGGAGGCCGTGGGGCTTGGTGGTCCCAGAGAGCTGGTAACTCAGGAAATCCGGTGCTGAGGCCCCGCCGTCTATGGGGACTCCACGGGGCAGACCCCGTTAATATATGCAATCCCCTCCTCCCTAAATTATTGTCACCCGCCACTTCCCAGCCCCGGAATCCGTGGGCAGCTAGCGGGCCCTGGTTTCTATGTATTTATAATGAACTCTGGTGTATATATGTAAAGATCTTTTTTAAAATATATGCGCCTTTTGCCTACTTCCCAGTGTGCTGTGGCCTTCAGGTCAGTGGAAAGGGAGCACCAGAGGGTCATAGAGCAGCTGTGCCCCGCCCCCCTTTGAGAGTAGACACAGATGACCTAGCAGTCAGCAAACCTATCCTCGCTGGAGAGATGGAAATCACCCAGTGGCAGCTGCAGTCAGGGCTGGGGCTGAGGATCCTGGGTCTTGCAGAGGGGGTTGGGGAGGAACAGGTCCTTAATCAGTGGTGGGATGACAGGGAAGACAGGCAGGTGGCCATCCATTGGCTTAGTCCACAGTCCGAGGGTCACTTAGCCAGGCAGCACAAAGCTCACAGCCACACAGGGAGAGGGCCCATGGGCTCCTAGGTACAGGTGGGCAACAGAGCCTCTAACAGACTTCCAGACCTGCCCACCCAAGAGGCCCTGGCTCAACCACGCCCACTGCTGGTAGTCCCCACAACCCCCACTTACACACATGCACGCATGCAACCCTAAAGCAGCTTCCCAGACCTCAACCCAAGAGGTCTCCTAACAGGTTACCGCCCTCCTAGGAACAGCCCTGTCCACACTCGGTCCTTCCCCTTGGCCTGGGCAGAGCCTCAGGGATTACTAGGGAACTAAAACCAGCTGACCCAGTTCCGGACCTGCAGAGTCCTGGGGCATAGGCATGGCCATCTAATCCGCAATGCACTAATTCCTGACCCGAGGACACAGTTTCAACATTTTATTCCCACAAGGCAGCCAAGGTGAAGCTCGAGCCTGGGCCACAGGCCTCTGGCCCTTCCTCCGGCAGGGGTGCACGCCAGGTCCTCAGGACTGCCCCACCAGCAGGCTGGTTTGCAGGCAGGCCATCATGAGTGCCGGGGTGGAAGGCTCCAGGGGTCACAGGGCAGGGGGGCTCGGCAGGGGCACACACTTGTAGGGCTAGAGATAGCACGGCAGGTCTTTCTCTATCACCAGGGGCTCCTCCATGGGACCATAGCGCTTCATCACGCAGCCATTCTTATCGATGAGAAACTGTGGGACAGAGAGAATACGGTGACAGAGTGCAGGGGAGTTGGGCCGCCCCCCCCACACACACTATGCCACTCTTACCTTGGTAAAGTTCCATTTAATGGCACTGTTAAGAGAGAGAGGGGGGAAAAAAGGGGCTTAGCAGTGGTGCCCACTTGGACGTGGGGGTGTACACCTTTAACCCCAGCACTCAGGAGACAGAGGCAAGCAGATCTGAGTTCAACCAGCCTGGGGAACACAGTGGGTTTATGGCCAAGTGGCCAAGGCTACATAGTGAGACCCTGCCTCGAAAAGAAAAGAAAAGAGGGGCGTTCACTCAGTAGTTAAAAGAATATATTGTTCTCCTGGAGAAGGGGGAGTCACACTTTCAGCACCCACATCACATAGTGGCTCACAGAAGTCTGTAATTCCATTTCCAGAGAGTCCCAGGCCCTCTTCTGTACACAGACATACATGGGAAGGGGAGAAGGTGTGTGGAGACAGGCCTACTCTTGAAGAGAACTGGGGTCCACAGTGGCTGCACTCTACCAAGCCCCGCTGACTGCAGCTCTGGGAGGTACAACATCCTCTTCTGGCCTCTGCATGCTCTACACTCAGGCAGAGCATTCATACACATAACATGCAAGTAAATCTGAGGCTGGGCCAGTGCTTTAATCCCAGCACTTTGGAGGCAGGGCAGGCAGATAGATCTCTGTGAATTTCAGGCTAGCCAGAGCTACACAGTGAGACCCTGCCTCAAAACAAACCAAAAAGCTGGCACCTGCTCTCATCTTGGTCTAGAGTCATCTGGCTGCCCCCATCCACTCCCCCAGGGCCACTCACTTTCCCAGCATGCCCCGGCCCTTGGGCTGGACTTTCATCCATTTCCACAGTGGGTGGGCATCGTCCCCATTTACACAGATCTTGCTGTACATGTCAAACTTGACATTGTAGCCGGCTGCAAACTCCTTGATTTCTTGATTACTTCCTGGCTCCTGTGGGTAGCAATAGACTGTGGTAAAGTGGATGCCCTTGCACACAAAGAAAGAGACAGATACACTGCACCCCGACTCTGGCCACTGCCTGGGGACCGTCACGCACCTGCTTCCCGAACTGGTTGCAGGGAAAGGCCAGGATTCGTAAACCACACTCAGCATATCGGGCATGCAGATCGACTAGCTGAGTGTAGTTTACGTCGGTTTTGCCTCATTGCGAGGCCACGTTGGTGACGATACACACGAAACCCCTGGGAGAGAAAGAGTAGGAATGAGGTCACCGTCAGGGGAGTCACTTTTTCAGACCGGCCTTGCACAACCCACGTAACCAGGCACCCACTTGTACTTATCCAGGCAAATCATGTTCCCGTCGATGTCCCTGGCTGAGAATTCGTGCATGGAGCGGGCACAGCGCCAATCATCACGGGATGCGCACTATAAAACAGGGAGACTGAGTGTCCTACCCCAGGTTCCCTAGGGACAGAGTACCACACCAACGAAAAGAATGCCCAGGAGCACTGAGCTGCGAGGGAGACCAAGGCTCCTCCCCCTTCCGTGCGTGTATCAGCCCCCTTCAGGACGTTCTAAAAGAGCTGTGGAGACCTAAAAGATACTACCAGGGAAGGGGACAGTAGGGGTACCCCTGGCCGCACACCGAGCCCAGGAGCTCGGCGCAGCTGCTGCCCTGAGCAGGCTCCTGCCGTAGAGGCCCGGGATTGAAGGGCCCGGGAGCCGGATCCGTCCGACGAGGGCGCGCCCTCCTACGGCGGCACCCTCGAGCTTTCCTCCTCCTCCGAGGGCTCCGGCGCTTCCGAGAATTTCGGGGTCTAGGTTCACACCGTCGCCGGCCTCCCGGGGACCTGCCACGCTGCCGGCAGCGTCCCGGGTTGCCGGCGGCCGCGCGGCCCATGCCTCCCCGACTCTGAGTCCCGAGGGCAGCGCGGGGACAAAGAGCCAGTAGCCAAGGTGCCGCCGATTGTGACGCACCAGGCCGGGCGGGGCGCGGGACCAGGTCAGAGCCCGCTATGGTGTCCCCGACACCGGTTCCCACCCCCAAGGAACCTCCCCCCCAACCAAGGCCTGACCGCCTTCTGCCCGGGGATGCCTCCCGGAGTCCGCTTTCCCACCTGGGTGGCCCCCAGTCTAGCTAACACCCCCTCCACGACCCCCGATCTCCACCCTGGACACGGTGACCCAACCCCGGACCCCGACCCCACCAGATCGCTCACACGACCGCTGTGACCGCCATCCTCCAGCTCCCCGGTATACCCACCATGGTGCCTGCGAGGCCTGGAGCAGCCAGAGCCCCACACAGCAGCGCGGGCTTCAGTAAGCGGCTCAGTCGGCACCAGCTCATCGCGGCGGCCGGAGCCACAGCTCCTCCCCTCACACAGCCGACCAATGTGCGCGATGCCAAGTCTGACTTGCCCGCCCTCGGTCACGCCCACTGACGTCTCTTATTGGTCGGGTGCGCCTGCGCCATGACGCGCGGTGCCTGCAGCCAATGGGAAGCCGGATGAAAGGGCGGCGTGGGAGGGGCGGGGCTCGAGGGTTTGTTGTTGTCAGCAATTGCGCATGCCCAATGGTGGGAAAGACGGGGAAACGGAGACGCGTCCTCGCGGACTGCGCGTTGGAGGGCCGTGGACAGTTATCCACGAGGTTGCCTGCGGCGGGGCACACTTGGGAACACAAAGCGAGGCTAAGCCACCCCCTAAACAGCCCCGTTGAGTAGAGAGTTTCCTATTTCTACTGGAGAAAGAGTCTCATGTAACCCAAGCCTCATGTAACTCCTGGTTCTCCTCTCTCAGCCTCCTGCGTGCTAGAATCGCGGGTGTGTGCCACCCCACGTCCCCTCCATTTCTCTCTCTCTTTCTCCTTTTTCAGAGGTGGTCTCACGTAGTCTAGGCTACCCTCAAATTCACTGTGTAGCCAGGACAGCCTTATTCATGATCCTCCTACCTCCACTTCAGAATTGGGATGACAGATACACACCACCATGCAGTGCTGGGATGGAACCTGGGGCCTGGAGCATGCCAAGTGTGAGCCCTCAGACCAGACACAGCCCTCCCCCTCGCCCTCAGCTTTGAACTCACAGCAACCCTCCTGCTGTAGACTCCAAAGGGCACCAGGTCCCACCCTGTCCCCTGTAGATAACGAGGGAGGACGGTACAGATTGATTCACGTGAAGATTGGTTTGAGGGGTGTGGCAAGAGGGCTCAGTGAGTAACGTGATTGCCCTGCAAACACCCGCAAAGAGCTCCATGCAGACCCCAGCACCGCGGAAGCAGGTACACTTGGATGCTTCTGTAACCCCTGGGGCCAAGTCAGAACGGTCAAGTGCCCCCAAAACAAGATGGAGACAGGCATGGTGGCCACACCCTCAACCCCAACCCTTGGAGGCAGAGGCCAGCCTGGTCGAGTAAGCAAGTTTCAGGTCAGACACTTCTGTATGACCTCAGAGGTTCCTGCACATAGAAAAGAAGCCAGGGGTCTTGAAAGGCCTGGCCAAGAAAGTAAAGGCCCCACAGTTTGCCCCAGGCCTCTAAGCCCAGCACTGCCGGCCCTTTGTCCCTTTGTCCTCCTAGCGAGAACTAGCTTGTGACTCCTCAGGCCAGCTGCTTGTCCACCCCACCCCCAGGATTCTAATCCCTAAACCAGCCCTTTGTCTTCCCTGGCTTGGCCACCTGCACTTAGGTGAAGAGACTCCAAGATCCCCCTTGGTCTGAGGGCCTCTCCCATCTCCATCTCAGGAAGGCAGCTGTTTCCTCCCAGCCTCCATTCCCCAGCACTTCCAGCCCCCTGAGGTTTGTCACGAGGTACCTAGAGGCTCAGATTGCCCACGCCCTCACAGGGTAGCTGTGAGGCTCCAGCTTCCTTCAGTCAGAGAAAAAGGCAGAACTGTGGAGACCTAGCACTGGAGCTGAAGGCGGCCACTCCGAGCCCCGCCCCGGGCTCTGGGAGGGACTTGCAGATGGAATATCTGCTTCTCCCAAAGAACCCCCACTTCACCCTAATTTCTTTCACCAATTGGGAAATGAAGTCCTGGGGTCCAAAGGCAACCACAAGAAGCCACTTAGAAGACCCTGAGAAGCCACTAGCTCCAGGACCAGGACTGAGGTCTGGCTTTTACTACTTTGTTTTTCTGGAGACAGGCACTCAGGTAGCCCAGGCTGGTCCAGACCAGGTTTCTTCTCTTTTCCCAGGCTAACCTGAGCTCCCGAGAGCTTTCCAACTCCTGTTTCCTGGCACTACAAAGGCAGCTGCACATCTGCCAGCAGAAGAGACCTGCGAATTAGAAGTTGGCCTTGTATGCTGGGCGGTGGTGGCGCACACCTTTAATTTCAGCACTCGGGAGGCAGAGGCAGGTGGATCTCTGTGAGTTTGAGGCCAGCCTGGTCCGCAAAGCACGTTCCAGGACAGTCAGGGCTACATACAGGGAAAAACCAAGGGGAAAAAAAAAACAGTAAAATGGAGCATGAATCCCAACAGCCAGGGGTTGGGGAAGCCCAAGGGCAAATAGTGTGGTCCTTACACACTAGAGTGAGCACTCCTCTGCCCGAGGAGCCGCGGACTAACGGGCCAGACACCAAGTGCTGTGGAATATTAGTTTAAGATGTGCTATATTCAGTGTCTACGCTGTGGAACATTTGTTTAAGGATGCAAAAATGTGTTGCATTCTCAAAAAACAGAACAGTACAAAACAAAAGCTTGGCCAGTTAGGGTCCATTCCTGTCACAAAAGGAGGCAGCCAGATTCACAGCAGTCCTGTCCCCAGAACCAAAGCCCTGGGGTCACAGGTCAGTCGCTGCTGTGCAGGCCAGTCCTTAAATCCCAGTTTTCACTCCCTCTCTTCCTCCACAGACTCAGACATTGTCACTACGCTTTGGCCTCAGTACAGATCACTGGACAAAAGTTGGAGCACAGATTCTAACGCCTGCCACCACACAAACAAAGCAGGGTTCTGTCAGCCAGGAAGGAGCCCTGGCCCATGCTGGGGCGACGCAGAAGACTTTGCCCTCCTTTCTTCCTTCCTTCCCTTCTTTCTTTCTTTCTTTCTTTCTTTCTTTCTTTCTTTCTTTCTTTCTTTCTCTTTTTGATTTTCTGAGACAGGGTTTCTCTGTGTAGCCCTGGCTGTCCTGGAACCCACTCTGTAGACCAGGCTGACCTTGAATTCAGAGAACCACTGACTTCTGCCTCCAAGGGCTGGGATTAAAGGCGTGCGTCACCACTGAAGGGACATGCACATATTGGGGTGCTCTCTCTCAGACCCCGGATTAGGCACGAACCACACCCAAACACCTGTTTTCACAGAGATCATTTAGTGAGCAGGGAAAGAAAGTTAAAGAGGCTGCTCTCCAATCCGGGCGGCCAACCACAGCGAGTGCCTTGCAGGGAGGTCTGTGTTGGAATGGCTAGGGTGTGGGGGTATATTTCAATACATTTATAGCTGGACCATGGTCAGCCGCAGGAGAAGGAAGTAGGCAAATAAGGGAATAGACTTTGGGGGCTAGCTTAGCAGACTTATTGGGGGAATCGAGGAATGGCAAGGCCTGGCAGAGCCACATCTGCTGTGCACGAGCTGGCTGCAGTCCCTTCGCATTGGACAGCTGTTTTTAGCTCATGAGCTTGTGACTTAGCAGAACTCCAGAACTCCTCTGATTAATCTTAAAACTCTGAGCTTTTGAAGTCTTAGTGTAATAACATCATACAGCACACTGGTGCAAAGATCTGAAGCATTTTTTCATTTGGAATATACTTTAAATCACCTTCTTAAGTCAATAATGATTTACCGTGAGACACAGGTGGTGGGTATCCGAGAGCATCCTTGTTAAATAAAGGAACAGTAAGAAAATTACGTTGGCGTTCAGCCAGCGATTGGGGAGACCTTAGGTCCACCTTAGACCATGGCCAAGTTTCTCCTTCCTTCAAGGAGAGAAGGCCAATCGCTGCTGAAACCCCTGCAGACATTTAGAGCGTGTGAAACTAATTTAGAGGGCTGCCCTGGCTCCACGGCTCCAGGGAAGTGCAGGCTGGTTTGGTGACCTCTGAGGCATGGATGTGCTTTGGCAACAGACAGATCTTAGGCCAAGGTGGCATCCTTGGCTATGGAGACCGAGCCTTAACATCTGATTTTATCTGAGGTTTTGTTTCAGGCTTTCCTTTGGAACACTAACCAGAAACTTAGTAGTTGGAATTCTGGGCCTCAGCCCTGGGTGGCCCACAGCTCCCAGAAGTCACTCAACCTGTTTCTCTTCACGCTTTTCCTCCGGCCTTTTTACTTTTCCTTCCTTTCCATGTCCTCTGTCCTGGCTGGCAGCTGCCTGGCTCGCTGGCCACAGGCATCTCCTGCTCCCTCTTCCTTGCTCTCTCCTCCTCCTCCCTCTCCTACTTATTCTCTCTGCCCTCCAGCCCTGCCTATCCACCCTGTCTAGCTATTGGCTAGTCAACTGTTCATTAGAGCAATCAGGTGCCTTAGGCAGGCAAGATGAAATGAATGAAGAAAAAAAAAAGAAAAAAGAATTAAAAAAAAAAAGATGAAATGAATGTAACACATTTTTACCTAGTTAAACAAGCACAGCATAAAGAATGCAACATGGGGGCTGGAGAGATGGCTCAGAGGTTAAGAGCAAAGGCTGCTCTTCCGGAGGCCCTGAGTTCAAATCCCAGCAACCACATGGTGGCTCACAACCATCTGTAATGAGATCTGGTGCCCTCTTCTGACCTGCAGGCATACATGGAGGCTGAACACAGTGTACATAATAAATAAATAAATCTAAAAAAAAAAAAGAATGCAACATACCTCTACATTGTTAAAGGTCATCCAAATAGGTGACCTTAATGAGGAGCAAGAACTGAAGTTGGACTAATAGAGTGTGAACCTGAGTAGAGTTTACGGGGTGGTTTCTTTTTTTTCTTTTGGCTTTACAAGACAGAATTTCTCTCTGTAGCCCTGGCTGTCCTGGAACTTGCTTTGTAAACCAGCTGACCTTAAATTCTTAGAGATCTGCCCACCTCTGCCTCCCAAGAGCTGGGATTAAAGGCTGCGGCGCCACCACCCGGCTGAGTTTTTTTTAATTTTCTTTATTTTTTTTTCCTTCAGAACCCATGATGTTTATTGAGCTCTACATTTTTCTCTGTTGCCCACCCTACCTTTCCCCTCCCACTTCAACCCTCCCCCAAGGTCCCCATGCTCCCAATTTACTCAGGAGATCTTGTCTTTTTATACTTTCTACTTCCCATGTAGATTAGATCTAGATCAATATAAGTCTCTCTTAGTGTCCATATTGTTGTCTAAGTTCTCTGGGATTGTGATTTGTAGGATGGCTTTCTTTGCTTTATGTTTAAAAATCACCTATGAGTGAGTACATGTGATAATTGTCTTTCTGTGTCTGAGGTACCTCACTCAAAATGATGTTTACTAGTTCCATCCATTTTCCTGCAAAATTCAAACTGTCGTTATTTTTTCTGCTGTGTAGTACTCCATTGTGTAAATGTACCACATTTTCCTTATCCATTCTTTGATCAAGGGGCATTTAGGTTGTTTCCAGGTTCTGGCTATGACAAACAAAGCTGCTATGAACATAGTTGAACACATGTCCTAGTGGTACGATTGAGCATCCTTTGGATATATACCCAAAAGTGGTATTACTGGGTCTTGAGGAAGGTTGTTTCCTAATTTTCTGAGAAATCGCCACGCTGACATCCAAAGGGGCTGTACCAGCTTGCATTCCCACCAGCAATGCAGAAGTGTTCCCTTTTCCCCACAACCTCTCCAGCATAATTGTCATCAGTGTTTTTGATCTTGGCCATTCTTACAGGTGTAAGATGGAATCTCAGAGTTGTTTTGATTTGCATTTCTCTGATGACTAAGTATGTTGAACATTTCCTTAAGTGTCTTTCAGTCATTTTAGATTCCTCTGTTGAGAGTTCTCTGTTTCGGTCTTTACTCCAATATTTTATTGGATTATTTGTTCTTTTGGTGTCCATTTTCTTGAGTTCTTTGTATATTTTGGAGATCAGACCTCTGTCCGATGTGGGGTTAGTGAAGATCTTTTCCCATTCTGTAGGCTGTCGCTTTGTCTTGTTGACCGTGTCCTTTGCTTTACAGAAGCTTTTCAGTTTCAGGAGGTCCCATTTATTCATTGTTTCTCTCAGTGTCTGTGCTGCTGGGGTTCTATTTAGGAAGTGGTTACCTGTGGCAATGCGTTCAAGTGTACTTCCCATTTTCTCTTCTATAAGATTCAGTGTGGCTGGCTTTATACTGAGGTCTTTGATCCATTCGGACTTGAGTTTTGTGCATGGTGATAGATATGGGTCTATTTTCATTCTTCTACATGTTGATATCCAGTTATGCCAGTACCACTTGTTAAATATGCTTTCTTTTTTTTCATTTGATAATTTTTGCTTCTTTATCAAATATCAGATGTTCAGAGATGTGTGGATTGATATCCAGGTCTTCTATTTGATTCCACTGGTCCTCCTGTCTGCTCTTATGCCAATACCAGGCTGTTTTCAGTACTGTAGCTCTGTAGTAGAGTTTGAAGTCAGGGATTGTGATGCTTCCAGAAGTTCTTTTATTGTACAGGATTGTTTTGGGTATCCTGGGTTTTTTTACTTTTCCAAATGAAGTTGAGTACCATTCTTTCAAGGTCTTTGAAGAATTTTACTGGGAGTTTGCTGGGCATTTCATTGAATCTGTAGATTGCTTTTAGTAAGATTGCCATTTTTACTATATTAATTCTGCCTACCCAAGAGCATGGGAGATCTTTCCACTTTCTGGTGTCTTCTTCAATTTCTTTCTTCAAAGATTTAACGTTCTTGTCGTACAAGTCTTCCACTTGTTTAGTTAGAGTTACTCCAAGATATCTTATGCTATTTGTGGCTATTGTGAAGGGTGTTGATTCTCTGATTTCTTTCTCAGCCCCTTTATCATCTGTGTGCAAATGAGGGCTACTGATTTTTTTGAGTTAATCTTGTATCCAGGTACATTACTGTTTATGAGTTGTAGAAGTTCCTTGGTAGAATTTTTGGGATCACTTATGTAAACTTTCATATCATCAGCAAACCGTGAGAGTTTGATTTCTTCTTTTCCAATTTGTATCCCCTTGATCTCCCTTTGGTGTCTTATTGCTCTAGCTAAGACCTCAAGAACTATACTGAATAGATATGGAGAGAGTGCACAACCTTGTCTTGTTCCTGATTTCAGTGGAATCGCTGGGAGTTTCTCTCCATTTAGTTTGATGTTGGCTGTTGGCTTGCTGCATATTGCCTTAATTATGTTTAGGAATGTTCCTTGTATCCCTGCTCTCTCCAAGACCTTTAATCATGAAGGGATGTTGTATTTTGTTGAAAGCTTTTTCAGCATCTAATGAGATGTGGTTTTCATTTTCCAGTTTGTTTATATGGTGGATTGCGTTGACAGATTCTCATATGTTGAACCATCTCTGCATCCGTGGGATGAAGCCAACTTGGTCATGATGGATGATGGTTCTGATGTGTTCTTGGATTAGATTTGCTGGTATTTTATTTAGTATTTTTGCATCAATGTTCATGAGTGAGATTGGTCTGTACTTCTCTCTCTTAGTATTGTCTTTCTGTGGTTTGGGTATCAGGTTAATTGTAGCCTCATAAAAAGAGTTTGGCAGGCTGGAGAGGTGGCTCAGAGGTTAGAAGAACCGACTGCTGTTCCGGAGGTCCTGAGTTCAATTCCCAGCAACCACATGATGGCTCACACCCATCTATAATGAGATCTGGTGCCCAGAACACTCTGTGTGTGTGTGTGTGTGTGTGTATACACACACACACACACACACACACATATATATAATTAAATAAAAAAAGTTTGGCAATGTTCCTTCTGTTTCTATTGTGTGGAACAGTTTGAGGAGTATTGATATTAGTTCTTCTTTGAAAGTCTCGTAGAATTTTGAGCTGAAACCATCTGGTCCTGTGCTTTTTTTTTTTTTTTTTTTTTCCGCTTTGGAGTCTTTTGATGACTGTTTCTATTTCTTCAGCAGTTATAAGTCTGTTTAATTTGCTTATCTGGTCTTGATTTAATTTTGGTAAGTGATATTTATCCAGAAAGTTGTCCACTTCCTAAGTTTTCCAATTTTGTGGAGTACACGTTTTCTTTTTTTTAATATTTATTTATTTATTATGTAGACAATGTCTACAATGTTATGTCGGTGTGTATGCCTGCAGGCCAGAAGAGGGCACGACACCCCATTACATATGGTTGTGAGCCACCATGTGATTGCTGGGAATTGAACTCAGGACCTTTGGAAGAGCAGGCAATGCTCTTAACCTCTGAGCCATCTCGCCAGCCCCTGGAGTACAGGTTTTCAAAACATGACCTGATGATTCTCTGTATTTCCGCCATATCTGTTGTTATGTCCTCCTTTTCATTTCTGATTTTGTTAATTCGGATATTTTCTCTCTGACTTTTGGTTAGTTTGGATAAAGGTTTGTCTATTTTGTCGATTTTCTTGAAGAACCAACTTTGTCTCATTGATTCTTTGTATTGTTTTCTTTGTTTCTATTTTGTTGGTTTCAGTTCTCAATTTGATTATTTCCTCCCATCTAGTTCTCTTAGGTGAGTTTGCTTCTTTTTTTCTAAAGTTTTCAAATGTTCTGTTAATTCACTAGTGTGGGATTTTTCCAGCTTCTTTATGTAGGCATTTAGTGCTATGAACTTTCCTCTTAACACTGCTTTCATTGTGTTCCATAAATTTGGGTATGCTGTGTGGTCATTTTCATTGAATTTTAGGAAGTCTTTAATTTCCCCCTTTATTTATTCCTTGACCCATTGATGATTCAGGTGAACATTGTTTAATTTCCATGTGTTTGTGGGTTTTCTGGAATTAGTGTAGGTGTTGACTTCTAGTTTTAAAGCATGGTGAACTGATAAGGTACATTGGGTTATTCCAATTTTTTTTGTATTTGTTAAGTCTATTTTGTTACTGAGTATGTGGCCTAGTTTTGAGAAGGTTCCATGAGGTGCTGAGAAGATATATTCTTTTCTGTTTGGATGGAGTATTCTATAGATGTCTGTTAAGTCCATCTGAGTCACAACATCTGTTAGTTCTCTTATTCTCTGTACATTTTTTGTCTGACTGACCTGTCCAGTGGTGAGAGGGGAGTGTTGAAGTCTCCCATTGTTAGTGTGTGGGGTTTAATATATGATTTAAGCTTTAGAAGTGTTTCTTTGACATATGAGGGTGCCCTTGTATTTGGGGCATAGATGTTCAGTATTAAGATTTCCTCTTCATGGATTTTTCCCTGTGACTAATATGAAATGACCTTCTTTGTCTCTTTTGTCTGATTTTAGCTTTAAGTCTATTTTGTTAGATATTAGGATAGCTACACCTGCTTGTTTCTTAGGTCCATTTGCTCCTGTGCTTGGCTCTTCTCCCTTGGAGTTTGCTGTCTCAGGCCTACTTTGGCCTAGGCCGCTGGCGTTGATCTGTTTCTATAAATCCTGGTCTGGATCCCCTCCTGCAGAAGTCCATGGCTTAGAGTTGGACCTGTTCTGGTGGAGATCACTCAGTCTGGATCTGGTTGCTGGCTCAGTCCTAATCAGCCCATGTTCCGGGACTGGGTCTGCTCCTGGCTTCTGCTCCCCCTGGAGTTTGTTTCCTCAGGCCCTCTCTGTCCTAGCTGTTTTTTGTTTGTTTGTTTTTTGTTTTGTTTTGTTTTTGTATTTTTGAGACAAGGTTTCTCTGTAGCTTTGGAGCCTGTCCTGGAACTAGCTCTTGTAGACCAGGACGGCCTCGAACTCATGGAGATCCGCCTGCGTCTGCCTCCCTGTGCTGGGATTAAAGGTGTGCTGGAAGATTGTCTTCTACCCAGGAATCAGGCCCACTGTGGGAGCTCTTGTCCTGGCTGAGATTTTTAACAGTGGGAAGTGGAGCCTAAGGAGACATTGGGATCCTTTGTCTGTGTGGTGGCAGGTGTCAGAATCTGCACCCAACTTTTGTTCAGTGATCTGTACTGAGGTCAAAGCGTAGTGATAATGTCTGAGTCTGTGGAGGAAGAGAGGGTGAACTGAAAAATAGGGCCTGTTTGGGAGCAGGGGTGGTGGTGGATGTGTGTGTGTGTGTGTGTGTGTGTGTGTGTGTGTGTGTGTGCCTTCCTATAAGCTCCAAGAGGGAACTGAGAGCAGAAGTTGAGGGACTGCAGGCAGGAGCTGAGAGGTGGCCAGCAGAGTCCATGGGTGACAGCAAATGATATAGAGACCCAGGTGGGCATGGCAGGCCAGAGCCAAGAGCTGTGGGTAGCTGAGGTGGGCAGAGTAGCTGAGGTGGGTAGAGTTTCACAGTGACAAGAATTTTCATTGCGTGTCCCCAACTAGGACTAGAAACTTGCCAGAGGAAAAACGTTCCAAATTACAGAGCAAAGGTGTCCCTTGTCCTTGTGATTGGAGCCCCAGGGGAGCAGGAGGAGACTCCTGGCATGCTGTGGCTTCTGTAGTAACAGTAAACAAGTCAGGAGTCAGGAGCCACACTTATCCAGCACAGGAGGAGGCAGGAGAGAGCAGGAGCAAAAGGAGACGCCCACGCGGACGACAGCACCTGTTGGAAAGCCGAAAGGAGCTTGTTTATGCGGTTCCTGGGTTTCGGCACCAGATGAATGAAAACAAGAAAGAAAGGAGAGGAAAAGACATGGCCGCTCCTAGGTGTGGTTGTAGATATGCAGGAGGGGCGTCTGGGACAGTCCAGACTGCACTGGGCCATGTGGGGGGACGACAGGACGGGGGACAACCAGGTGCAGCAACCAGGAGGCCCAAAAGGCGCAGATGAAAGGCAGGCAACCAACATGGCTGGAATACACAGGAAGGCAGCCCAGCTGGTGAGCTGGGGAGTTCAGGGTATGGGGCGGAGCATGTAAGCGGCGGGGCAAGGGGATGCTGGGAGAACTGGCATGTTAACTAGGCACCTCAGTGGTTATGTTGGTCCTGGGTTTGAAACCTAACAGTATGATTTGGCTTGGCCGTTTGTCCCTGGTAAACAGTATGTAGGCTGCTCTGGTTCTTTTTTTCTTTTTCTTTCAGAGACAGGGTTTCTTGGTGTAGCCCTGGCTGCCGGGAACTCGCTCTGTAGACCAGGCTGGCCTCGAACTCAGAGATCCGCCTGTCTCTGCCTCCTGAGTGCTGGGATTAAAAACGTGCACCACCACCTCCAGGTTTAAACTTTTATGTTAGTGATTTAGATTTTTTTTTGTATGTATGAGTGTTTTGCCTGCATATATGTCTGTGTACGTTGTGTGTGCCTGGTGTCTAATATAGGTCAGAAGAGGTCATCAGATTTCCGGAACAGGAGCTATAGATGGGTGTGAGCTACCATATAGGTGTGGGCACTGAACCTGGATCCTGTGCCAAAAAAAAAGTGCTCTTAACTGATCAGCCATCTGTCCACCCCCCCCTCTTTCTCTCCCTCCCTCCTTCCCTCCCTCCCTCCCTCCCTCCCTTCACTTACAGTCTCTCCATGTACACCAGGCTGGCCTCAAACACACAGAGATCCAACTAACTGCCTCTCTCTTTCCCCAGGCACTGGGGTCACATCCAGTAATCTGACCCCTGAGCCATCTCTCCAGTCACTGTCCTAGCACCTGCCTCCGTACCCCGCCTGCCTCCGTACCCCGCCTGCCTCCGTCACCCTCACCAGCCCTTTGGGATTCTAGTTTCTGTCCTGTCTGGAACTGGGCAGTGAGTCCCGATCCTGGGTCCTCAGGGTCATTGACAGGACTTGGAGTTGCTGTAGCCCTGGATCCTGGGGCCCGCATGCTCCAGACAGCACCTTTTTCTACGACCCACTGCTCTGAGGAGCCACACGGCCATCCCTGTGTCAGCCTGCCACCGTGCAGGGCCCTTCCCCTGTTCCCACTCGGTCCACCCCCTTGTTTAGGCCTTCTCCTCTCTCCCATGTGGCAGTCAGTGCTTGTTAATTCACCTGGCTCCTCTGTCTGTTCTGTTTCAGAAGCACTGGGATAGCAACTTGGTCTGGGAACCCCAGCAGCTGCACGTGCAAAGAGGGGACCAGAGATTTAAGCCAGGGCCAGAGCCCAGCAGTCTGCAAACCTGCCCAGCATGTGGAGCATTTTTACTGGTGTGGACTCCAGCAGAGGTGAGCAGGACATAGGACAACCCCTCCCTGGCCCTTGATGGGACAACCAAGATGGGAAGCCCTGTTCACAACAAGACTTGCACACGGACACACGCAGACTTGGTATGTTTGGTTGTGTTTGTTTTGAGATGCATTAGCTCTGCAGACCTATTCGGCACAGAACTTGTTATGTATACTAGTTTGGCCTAAAACTTACAGGCATCCTCCTGCCTCAGCTTCCCAGTGCTGGGTGACTAGTGTGCTGGCACGTGGAGCTGGGATGGAGCCCAGGGCTTCAGGCTCTCCCAGCACTCTCCCCACTGGGCCCTAGCCACACCCCTGTTTATTGCAATGCTTTGGTTTCTGTTTTTGAGACAGGACTCACTAAGTTCCTGGCTGACCTGGAACTTGCTCTGTAGACCAGGCTGGCCTCAAACACCCACTGAGAGATCCACCGGCCCCTGCCTCAGGACTTTGTTTGCTTATGTGCATTGCTCTTAATTACACATCTCTCTGTGTGTCTGCATCTGGCTGCAGACCAGATGGTTGGATCCCCTGCAGCTGGAGTCACGGGTGGCTGCATGTCCCATGTGTCCCGACACACATCTTACCACTGACCCAAGTGTTTGACAGGGTCTGCTAAATGGTCCAGGTTGGCCTTGTGGGGATCCTCCTGTCTGCCTTCCAGTGCACCCCATCCACAGCCCACACAGGGAGGAGACCAGAGGGAGGGGGTGAGGTTACTACCATCAAACGCCACATCTGTGAGAGGCAAGACCCTCGCTCCACAGAAAAGCAGAGAGACCTCAGAGGAAAGCCAGAGGGATTCAGTCTCCGGATCCACCATTGGCCTGGAAGGAAGGCAGCCGCTGGCTCGTCCCTGTGGCGAGGAACAACGGCCTTCCTTCTCCCTGCTCTCCTTTCCCCACAGGCTGGTCCTCCAGACAGTCTTCCCCGAGGTCCCTCCCCAAGCCTAGGATGAACTGAGAGGAGGCACCAGCCGCAGCCAGGGAGGACCAGCCTAGGGCTTCCTGCTTGCCTGTGACTGAGCGTTTGAACACACCTCACACTGAAAATGATCATCCTCCCTGACTTAAGTCCTCCTCTCCTTTCGTTTGCTCTTATTTTCAGATTTATTGTTAGCCCCTTACGCAGGGATAAAGCAGCGCCCTACACTCCTGCCACAGATGGAGAGATCTCAGTGGTTAGAGCACAGAGGCCCCAGGTTCCATTCCCCACACCTGTGACTCACAACTGTCTGTAACTCCAGTCCCAGGGAATCCAGCGCCCTCTTCTGGCCTCTGCGGACAAGCACACGTACAAAAAAATTAAATAGCTCCAAAAAAAAAAAAAAAATCTAACCCGGTATAATTCCAAGTTTAGTTAGGACTGAAAGTTCAGCAGACTCCACCCTCCAGACTCCACCCTCCGGCGTGAACGACAGTCACTTCCTGAGTCGGACGGACGCTCCTCGCTGGCCTACGGCCTCGGGAGTGTTGCCTCCGGAGCTGAAATGTCACACCTTCTACCCTCTGAACACAAGCGCCTCCTCTAATCGACCCCGAGACCACAGCATAGCTGACTCCATGACGGAGTCATTAAACTCAGCTTGTAGACGGCACCACCTGCTAGAACAGAAAGACCCAATCCACCGAAGCCCACGTTCTGGAAAAGTCTCTACCGCGCTAACCTTGCTCTTTAGCGTTTGCAGCTCCTCTTGTTCCCAGCAGCATGTCGTGGGGTCCTGAGGACCCGGCGTAGTCTCGGTCGGCTGAGAGCTCGCCTATCACTTCCTCCTCAGCCCTGCCAGCTTCACACCACGTGCAGTCGCCAGTGCCATCTGATAGGCTACACTCTCCTTCACTCTCCTTTAAGGGCCTCCATTTTGTAGCAGGTAACGCTTTGTTGATGGTCATAGATAGGTTAACTCACTCTAGATCCCTGTTTGTTGTTGACCCAGATATAGCTGGTTCAAACCCTGCAGGGTTTCAGGTTATAATTTCTTTTTTCTTTTTCTTTTTCTTTTTTTTTTTTTTTTTGCGGGGGGTGCAGATTTCCAGACAGGGTTTCTCTGTAGCTTTGGAGCCTGTCCTGGAACTAGCTCTTGTAGACCAGGCTGGCCTCGAACTCACAGAGATCCACCTGCCTCTGCCTCCCGAGTGCTGGGATTAAAGGCGTGTGCCACCACTGCCTGGCTCCAGTCTAATTTCTATGGATTCAGCAGAGATTAGAGCCCTGGAATGGGCTTTGTGAAGAGGAGGAGACCAAAGGTCACTGTGTAGGGTGCATCTAACTGAAGCAGCGTGCAGCTCCCACGTTCCACAGTAACACCAGCCCCAGGAAAATGCAGAGAAATTGCTATTTGCTGCTCTGTTGGTTAGGACATTCAGGACATGGGAATAGGCTCCAAGAACTCTCACTGGGTGAGATTAATTCATGTTCCATGCTGACGGAAAAAGAGGTTCTAAGATGCTGGCTTACACAGCCCGGAGTGGGAGCAACAGACCCTAGGGAGTGTCCTCTCCTGAAACAGAGCCAGCTTATACTTTGCTCCAGCGGGGCCCCGTCAGATCCCAGGGTACAGGGCACTCCTTGAGACTGGGGCGCTGACTCGCAGCTGCAGCAATCGCCTCTGCTGCACCGTGCCTGCACTGCCTCTTGACCCATCCCACCCAAGCATTCAGCCTTGGATCTCTCTCTCTCAGTCTCGGAACCCTTAGCCCACTAGTCCCTGCCCCCCCTTGGCTCCCGAAGGCATGTTCAGTAGCTGTTTGCTAAAGGCCTGACGAAGACCAAGCAGTCTGATCTGGGTGGGTTTGCCCCTCATCTGTGCCGCTGTTGACATCTCTGCGTGTCCTGGTGGTGCCATCATGGGGACCGCGTTTTGGACTTGTAGACTCTTCAGGGTATGGACCTTTAGGGTGAGAGGTTTATTCTGAGCATAGGCTGTGTGCACTTATACATCAGACCACTCTGGATTTGGGGCAGAAATAGTTATTAAAACTGCTATTAGCCCTTTGGGTGTATCTGTACCCACAGTTTCTAACCAGACAACCAGTACTTTCATTTCTTATTTATTTGTTGTTTGTTTACTTTGGTTTTTGAGACAAGGTGGATTCTCTGTGCAGCCCTCGCTGTCCTGGAGCTTTGTCTGCCCCAGGCCGGCCTCGAACTCACAGAGATCCGCCTGCCTCTGCCTCCCGAGTGCTGGGGTTGAAGGCGTGCCCCACCACCGCCCGGCTTGTAGAACCCAAAGCCAGCTTTTCTTTTCTTTTCTTTTTTTTCTTTTGAGAAAAAGTTTTATTTGGGACGGAGAAGTCCAGGAGAGTGGCTGCCTCTGCCAGGGAGGGTTCAACCATGGCCCCCAGCTTTTCTTAAATTATTCTGTCGACCTTTTGTCCCTGGGCTTTTACCTTTCTCTATTTCTGTATATGTTTTCTTTCCTTCGTATTCCGTGTTGGCTGTGTGGCTGGCCCCTTCTTTTCTTGTTCCTTGCTCTTTCTCTCAGATTTCTCCCTCATTCGTACTCTCTGCCTGCCAGCCCCCCATCCTTTCTCCTGCCTCTCAGTCAGTCTTTAACAAACCATTCAGGTGTTGTAGACAGGCAAAGTAACACAGCTTCACTGAGTTAAACAATTGCAACATAAAAGAACGCAGCACATTGGGCTGGAGAGATGGCTCAGCGGTTAAGAGCACTGGCTGCTCTTCCAGAGGTCCTGAGTTCAATTCTCAGCAACCACTTGGTGGCTCACAACCATCTGTAATGAGATCCGACGCCCTCTTCTGGTATGCACATGCAGACAGGGCACTGTACACGTGTATGCGCGATGGATAAATCTTCTAACATAAGAATGCAACAGACATTGCATTATTAAGCAAATGTTCCACAGCATAAACTGTGTTCTACCACGGAAGTCCTTCCTTGTCTTGTGCTCCAGCTCTGTTGCTTATCTCAGAGCCGCGGGCAACTATAGCGTCAGCCTGGCCGCCTTCAGGGGAGGTGCGCAGCGTCAGCCCCGCCGGCAACTACAGCGTCAGCCCGGCCGCCTTCAGGGGAGGTGCGCTGTCTTGGTTGTTTAGTGTTGCGGTTTCACTCTGGTGTTATGAGGTATCCACCAGAGAAGCCAATAGAAAGTCTTTATAACCGGCTAGCGACCACACTGGGTGTTCGGGATCCCAGTGTAGCCCTGAGTCTTTCTCAGCGGGAGCTTTTAAGCACAAAAGCCACGTCCGTCCTGGGTTGGCATGCTGCAGGCTGCAGTTAACAAGAACAGTTGCCAGCCAGAGCAGAGCTACAGGGGTCCAAAGGGTCAGTACATTTGGAGTCTCTCCAGAACTGTGGACTTTGATGGACTGGGTCTGTTTTCATTTCTGCAGGGGCGCTGTCTGTGTGCTGCTATGGCCAGAATGGCATGCCATCATGGAGTCAGCTGTCCTAAATTCTGGGGACCTTTACTCCAGCATCGAGGCATCTGGAGTTATAGTTGAGGTGTTTCTTGGTGTTATATCCGGCTTTATTTTTGTTGTGAGGGTGTTCCATTCCTGGGTTATTGTTTCCCTTTCTGGAACCTGGGCAAGTGTGTTGGCTGTGGCGTTCCTGGTAGGGAAACTTGTGCAGTTGGCTGGTGACAGGAAAGAATGAGAGAGACCAGGAGGAAAGGGTGTGAGGGGCCAGGAAAGGAGCAGCGGAACCGGGGATCCACACCAAGAGGCCAGATCCAGGGAATGGAGGTATCTTAGGGTTTAAATTGCCGTGAAAAAATACCATGACAACGGCAGCTCTGATTGTTTGTTTCTCAAGACAGGGCTTCTCTGTGTAACACCCTAACTGTCCTGGAACTTGCTCTGTGGGCCAGGCTGACCTCGAACTCACAGAGATCCGCCTGCCTCTGCCTCCCGAGTGCTGGGATTAAAGGCTGCACCACCACTGCCTGGCTTTTTAAAAATAATTTTTTTTGACAGCACCAGTTAGAAAGGAAAACATTAAATTGGGGTAGCTTCTTTTTCATTTTCAGAGGTTTAGTCCATTGTCATCGGTAGGAGCCAGCCATGATAAGTTAAATATGAGCAGATCATCCAAAGAAAGTTCTTACTTCCAACCATTATCACCTGCCAGAGTAGGACTCAGCCATCGATGAAATGAAATGGAGGCCTGAGTCTCAGTAGTTTACCCTGAAGCAATACCTAGTTGCAGGAAGAACCACAAGGTGAGATTACCTGAGCACCACCCAAGAGCAGACCATTCAAAGGAAATGCCTAACTGTAGACCACCTGCCAGTACACACTCACCAGGACACCCCTAGACAAATGTCAGCCAATCAGGGGTCCTGAACTTCAGAGACCCCATACTGCTATAAAAACCCTACTCTAACTGAGCTCGGGGCTCTCTGTTTATTCCAATACCAATACGCTGGACCTGTGGAGAGACCGAATTTGTAAACTTGCATAAAATAAAGGCTCTTTGCTTTTACATACGGACTCGGTCTTCTGCTTGGCTTTTGGGGACTTCGCGGATTCTGCATAACATCATCATGGTGTGGCGTGGTGTCATGCAGGCAGACACGGTGCTGGAGGCGTAGCTAAGGCAACAGGAAGTGGTCGGGGACAATGAGCAGTGTCTTGAGTAGGGTGCACAGGTCGCTCCAAATGCTTTTACAGAAAACCGCTTTATTCTCGAGAAAAATCAGCATTCTGGGACCCACCCAAAATGGTGTTGACCCTGGGGAGGGTAAGGCAGCCCTTGAAGCCTGCTTAGGGGAATTCAAGCTGCAGTGAAGTGATTGGGTGTAGACCCTTACTGATACAGGAATCATTCTGTGATTGGCTCATGACATCTGGTCAGCAGCTGTGGTTATGGTGTCAGGGGTCTGTCCGCTGTGTCCAGCGTCTGTCTGACTGAAAACAGCAAGAACAGTTCCTGCTTGTGACCAGGTAGCACTGACCGGCTACCAGGCTAGATGTACTTCCTGAGGGTCTGGTTGAAGTTGACACGCGTCAACTTAAGTAATATGGGGCCGAGGTCTTAGCAAACTGACCCCTGGCATAAAGACTGGTCCTGGTCCCTTCAAGCATATACTGTGGGTCTCCATCTTCCTCAGGAATGTGACAGATAGAACGGAGACAGCCCTCTTGGATGTGACCTCAGTGAGTCAGCTCAATTTTACTCCAGAGTATAGGAAATTATAGGAAAGTATAGGATTGGGAAGCCTGGGGACAAATCCTAATGTGCATGAAGTGGCAGGTTCCTATTATAAGGCTGAGTTAGCGGCAGCAGGGTCCTGTATCAAAGCTCCTAGTACAATCTTAGTAACCATATCTGCAGCAGGGGGCAAACTTCTAGCAGGAAACTGTGCCAAGGGTCACACTAGAGATAAACCCACCCCACCGGTGTCCAGGCTTAGATACAACTTCAGATAAGGTCAGTCCTCCCGGCCTAAAGACGTTCTCCAGAGAAGGGCGTGTAAGGAGCAGAAGTCTCACTGGGGAGGGGGGGTCTCTCACTTGGAAAGACTGCAACCTCTAACCATCAGGCCTTCTGACAATATATAAGACCTCAAAGCCCACCCCACAGCGCCACACTTCCTTCCACAAGGCCACACCTACTCCTACAAAGCCACATCACCTGTTAGTGCCTCTTCCATTGGGGGCCACTTCCTTTGGAAGCACCCCAGCAGGTGAGGCGGGCTCCTGCAGGCAGAGACGGGGCTGGCTCCCCATAGCGGAACTCATCCGGTGGCCACTGGGAAGCCCCTGTCCTGCACCCAGCTGTTTTCTTATGTCCCACACTCAGGTTCTGGCATCACCCCAGCCCTGGGCATGCACCCATATACCCAAAGAGTCTGGAATTCTTGGGTTAAGGCTTCACCTCAGCCCCTGGCATCCATATGTCCAAGAAATCTGGAAGGTTTGGGTGGAAAGTTCTATCTCAAGCCCCTCCCCTTGGAGTTGCCTCAGTCCAGACTCCATCCCCAAGAGAGTCTGCCAAATGATGACCCCTCCCAGAGATGCTCAAGACCACTCCCACAGGGCATTTAAACAGCCCCCCCCCCCCCCGAGAACAAACACGTGGTTTTCTGATCTTCCTTCCCCCATTTCCTCTCTGAGGTGTTGGAAGGCCACCCAGGGGTGCTGGTATCCATTAAACCTGGGCCTTTTCTAATTTGGTTTGATTTTTGTGTGGTTTGGATTATTGTGTCAGCGGAGAGGTTTATTGGGGTGCAGAAACTTCATGACCGCTCATTTCCACCAAGAATGAGGCAGTCATCTGGAGGAGTGGCACATGTCTTTAATCACAGCATTCTAGAGGCAGAGGCAGTCAGATCTCTTTGAGTTTGGTCTACATAGTGGATTCTGGGACAGCCAGATCTACATAGAGAGACCCTGTCTCAAAACCAAACTGCTGGGCAGTGGTGGCACACTCCCAGCACTGGGAAGGCAGAGACAGGTGGATCTCTGTGAGTTCGAGGCCAGCCTGGTCTACAGAGCGAGTTCCAGGACAGGCTCCAAAGCTACAGAGAAACCCTGTCTCGAAAAAACAAAAAAACAAACAAAAAAAAAAAAACCAACCAAATACCAAACCAAACCAAACAACAGCCACATAAAGAATGAGAGGCCATGTTTCCTGAGTTAATATCAGTGACCCCCCCCCAAAAAAAGTCAGAGTCTGGGAAAGAACTCACTGAGAGATCTGCCCACCAGAGTACTGGAGCCAAACGCACCTACCACCCCCGACCCTAGGGGTCTCATTTTCCAAAAATGTTTTTGCCCAGATTATCCCCTTGCTTTGCATCCACGGCTCAGCCCAGCTCTGCAGTCCGTGTGGTGGGCTCAGGAGTCAGGTACGCTTGCTGTCTTCCCAGGCAGGAACTGCTGCTGACCTGTGAACGGCAAGGACAGGCAGGACAGAAGTGAAGGTGCGGCCAGTGTCTGGTTTTCCAGTGCCTGATCTTGCTGGTCATGCTGGCCCTCACCTTTAATCCTAGTTCACCTGAGACCAACCTAATCCATATATCAAATTTCAGGCCAGCCAGGACTGCCCTTCCCACCCCCGATAGAGGAAACAGACATAAGCATTTATGGGAAGTCTACAAGTTGGAGGGTTTAGCCCCAGAAGCCTTAGGGCTCACCGCCTTGTTAACCTTTCCACAGGCTAGCCCACCACCCACCACACCCGTCTGTTTGTTGATTATGTATTTCCCCATACATTCAGAATATTTTCCTCTTAGGTTGTGAGGTTTTTGTTGTTGTTATTTGTATTTTTTTGAGACAGAGTTTCTCTGTAGCTTTGGAGCCTGTCCTGGAACTAGCTCTTGTAGACCAGGCTGGTCTTGAACTCAGAGATCCTCCTGCCTCTGCCGCCCGAGTGCTGGGATTAAAGGCGTGTGCCACCATTGCCCGGCGATTGTGAGCATTTTAATTATGTTTATTTGTGTATCTGTGAGGGGGTATTAACTGCGGTACCCATGGGGGTAGAGACGACAGACCTTTTGGATATGGAGTTACAGATAGTTGGGGGCCACCTCACATGGGTGCTGCAAACTGATTTTTTAGATAAGGGAACCCATTATCACGCAAAATGAATATATACTAATATATGCTACTAATAAAAAGTTGTATGTAGCCAGGCAGTGGTGGCACATGCCTTTAACCCCAGCACTCGGAAGACAGGCAGGAGGATCTCTGAGTTCAAGACCAGCCTGGTCTACAAAAGCGAGTTCTTCCAGCACAGCTTCCAAAGCTAGAGAAACCCTGTCTCGGAGAAAAAAAAGAAAGAAAGAAAGAAATCAAACAACAACAAAAAACCTTGTACATAAAAGGAAATTGAGGCCCGTGGCCTTGGCTCTTGTATAAGGTCCCCGCACAAACTCGAGGCACGGCCACTGAGAGAAAGCCTTCTAGGCTTCTACACCGTCCCACGCCATACACACTCCCAGGCCAGCCTCGAACTCATGGCTCCAGGGACCGCTACCTCCGAGAGCTGGGATTGGAGGCGTGGTCCATATACCCCCAGGTATCGCGAGATCTTCCCGTGCGCTATCTCGCGAAGCTCCGTGCTGGGGCTGCCCACCGCGCAGCCTGCCGTGGTCGTCGCTTTATTCAGGCCTTCGCCGCAGACAGCACAGAACCGGGCGGGGCAGGGGAGGCCGCTCCGTTATTCCACGCAGGCGCAGTTTTCGTAGTCCGGCGCAGGCTCAGCGCTGGCAGTGGCGCGCAAGCGCAGTTGTTTCCGAAGAGCCGCAACATGGACGACGAGGAGGAGACTTACCGGCTGTGGAAGATCCGCAAGACTATCATGCAGGCGAGTCGCGCGTGGTGAGGCTTGAGCGAGTGCCGAGTTGCGGACGGACTGAGGCCGTTCACCCAGGCTGGCGTCCTGCCGCGCCGCAGCTTCTCGGGTGCGGGGCGCCCACGCTGGCCTCCAGCGATGGCTGGCGTCCTGCTTCAGCCTCCCGACGCTGTCTCAGAGGGAACCGGGCGGAGGCGGGGAGCTACGTGCCCCTGCTGTCGGGGTGGTGGGCAGCCGCTCCGCCAGCCTAACCCAGGCCCCAGTACCCCTGTGGCAGCTCGCAGCCATCTCCAACCACAGCTTCGGCCGGCGTGGTGGCCGAGGCGGGTGACTCTCTGTATGTCTGAAGCTAGACTGATCTGCAGAGTGAGTTCCAGGGCTTTGTAATAAGGGCTTGTGTTAAGAAACCAAAATAAACAGAAGGTAAAAATGCTAATTTGATGGCACAAGCTTTCATCCCCGTCACTCTTGGGCCAGAGGCAGGTCAGTCTCTGAGTTCAAGACCAGGCTGAGGTCACCCAGGGCTTCATAACGAGACCCTGTTTCAAAAATAATAAATCTAGGTAGGCGGGGCAGTGGTGGCGCACGCCTTTAATCGCAGCACTCGGGAGGCAGAGGCAGGAGGATTTCTGTGAGTTCGAGGCTAGCCTGGTCTACAGAGTGAGTTCCAGGCCAGTGGAGAAAGAGGTCTGCGTAGTTTTGATTTATTGTGTTGGGTGGACTACAGGACGCTCAGCCCCAAGACTTAACAGGATGGCGATGTCTGGTCTCCGTGTTGAAGAGCTTGTGGTTGTGGGGGCGCAGTGAGGTTGCCCTATGGTTGCTTGGGGATGCGTGGGTCTTGGCTGGAGCCAGTCCAGAGCTTGGAGCCCACGTGGCCTACGGCGCTGCAGGGTCAGGTCAGGGTCACATCTGGGTGCTGCAGTCCCAGCTCTCCTGCGGATTTCCACTCCCTCTCTGAGGACAGCTGGCTCTTTGTCCCTGCAGCTGTGTCATGACCGTGGCTACTTGGTGACTCAGGATGAGCTGGACCAGACCCTTGAGGAGTTCAAGGCACAGTTTGGGGACAAACCCAGCGAAGGAAGACCAAGGCGCACAGACCTCACCGTGCTGGTGGCCCACAATGATGACCCCACAGACCAGATGTTTGTGTTCTTCCCAGGTGGGGCTCATGGCAGTGTGTAACAGCTCTCTCCCCTTTGTCTGTGGTCTTCCGCTTTGTGGGTTCCACCCTGGCCCTGCTTTGGCTGCAGGACTATGGCAGCCGCCTAGCCTGCTTTTGTTCCTGCTCCCCTGGGAACCTTCCCTTGTCCAGTGCGTGGCCATTCTCTGCCCCTGGCGTCTCATCACCAGCCCCCAGTCACTCTGGCTCCTGTCTGATGTATTCTGTAGTTTCTCCTTACACCCCAGGCAGCTCGGATGGTGTCTCATGAGAGGGGTTGCCACCCTGGGCGCCTGCCTCCTGGTGTCCTCAAACAGCCTGTCTCTAATATCCTGACACTTTGAGGTCCTGGGGCCTATGATTTTTTGTGAGAGTTAGGGGTGCAGGGATGGGCGTGGTAGCGTAGTCTGTAATCGTAGCACTCGGGAAGCAGAGGCTGAGGCAGGCTGTCAAGGCCAGCCTGGTCTGTACAGTGAGTTCTCAGCCTTCCTAATGCTACTATCCTTTAATAAAACAGTGCCATGTGTTGTGGGGACCCCCAGCCATAAAATTGTTTTTGTTGCTACTTCCTAACTGTTATTTTGCTGTGTGAGTCACAATGTAAATATCTGTGTTTTCCTGTGGTCTCAGGGGTCAGTACCTGAAGATTGAGAACTGATGTAGAGAAACCCTGTCCTCAAAAGAAAAACTAAATAGTTGGGAGTAGAGAGTCTGAGACCCAGCAGTTGGCAAACCATGCGTGCATGGTCATGTGGGCCTGGTTCTGCACTTTTGGGTCCTGATGCTCCAGTGCACCCCAGTCTGTCTGAGGAGCCGAGGTTAGCCCCATGTAGACAGAGGATCTGTCTCCTCTTCCTTGAGGCTGCCAAGCTGACAATACCACGTCCTCAAACCTCAGAGCAGCTGACGGAACAGGGTCAGGGTACCGTGCAGCTTCCTCCTGCCCAGCCCCATTCAAGGCTCCTGGCTGCTCTGATTTTCCCTGGCAAATAGAGACACCCGAGACCACAGGCAGGGCAGTGGTGGTCTCCGGCAGTGGACATGAGGGTCGTGCTATGTGTCCGCAGAGGAGCCCAAGGTGGGCATCAAGACCATCAAGGTGTACTGCCAGCGCATGCAGGAGGAGAACATCACGCGGGCGCTGATCGTGGTGCAGCAGGGCATGACGCCCTCCGCCAAGCAGTCCCTGGTGGACATGGCACCGAAGTACGTGCTGGAGCAGTTCCTACAGCAGGAGCTGCTCATCAACATCACGGAGCACGAGGTGTGCACCTGTCCTGGGGGCGGCCAGGTGGGGTGGAGCGCAGGGAACACG